GTAAGACATTTGCATTTTTATTTCAGTCATTAAATAAGTAGTGATTCGGCAATGGAAATCTAACATCCAAATTTAAAGAAGGTGAAGATTTCACTGAAACAAAGCACTCTTGATAGATACAAAACTTCAGTCACACATACACAGAAATTACATATAAAAAAGGCAAGGTAATTATTTTATATTTTCTGTTAACAGGGCTTCATGATTCAGACAGGAGATCCAACAGGTACTGGTATGGGAGGAGAAAGCATATGGGGAGGAGAGTTTGAAGATGAATTTCACTCAACATTACGCCATGACAGACCATACACTCTCAGCATGGCCAATGCTGGATCAAATACTAATGGATCCCAGTTTTTCATAACGGTAGTACCAACGGTGAGTGTCATTATCTATAAATAACAGGTTCATGGTTTATGATGCAAGAATATGAATTTAGTAGGGGATCTGCATTATTCAGTTCTTTGTATTATTAAATATCTCCAGATAGGAAATAGAAAAGAATTTAGAGATAAAAATTTAAACAATGTAACAAATGAGTTTAGAAAACACTATTTCTTTCTAGTAGGAAATACAATGTTCTATGTTCAGGACATTCAAGTTTCAGGTCTCTTGCTCTGCCACCATTAATTTTATGCCACCTAAAGCAAATTACTTCACCTCTCTTGGCCAATTTCCTCATCATTCGAGTTTTTATTGCTATTTATTCATTAATGTATGGTTTTTCAAGACAGGGTTTCTCTGTGAGGCCCTGGCTATTTTGGACCAGGCTGGGCTTGAACTCAGAGATCCACCTGCCTCTGCCATCTGGATGCTGGGATTAAAAGTGTGCGTGCATACTGCCAGCTTATTTTTATATTTTTAAGGAAGTTCTTCTCTGTGGCCCAAGCTTCATTCAGCTTGTCTAGTGCTAGGGTTACAGTTGTGTGGTACCATGCCTAACTTCTAGAGAAATTAAGAATGTATGAATTCCTTTTTTGTTGTTTTTTGGTTTGTCTGTTTTTCAAAACAGGGGCTGCCAGGTACTGGAACTTGCTTTGTAGACCAGGCTGGCCTTGAGCTCACGGAGATCTGCCTACCTCTGTCTCCTGAGTGCTGGGATTTAAGGCATGCACCACCACTACCCAGCATTGAATTCTTCATAATTTCTTAAGAGGCTGTTTATCATAATAACCATAATAAATGGCATTCAGGCAAGAATTCTCTGTTTTACCTTGCCTAACAGCTTCAGTGTAGATTTAATGAAACTAAGTATATGGTTACCTAGCTCTATTTGTATTCAATTCTCCAAATCAGAAAAAAAAACATAAACAAAATTATATACCAAACAACAAAGGAAGAGTATTTGTAAATATCTGCCAGGCTCACAGTCTAATGTAACATTCATAGGGCTGTTAGTGTTATTCCCAGATTAGTAATGAGGAAGAAACATGGTAGCAGAGCCATATAACTTTCACATTGTGCCAAAGTACAGTCTTATTTTCAAATGATGCAGAGTGATTTATCATTTGCAAATATCATCAAACTCCCTTTGGATTAAATAATAAAGATACTAATTCAACTTTTTATCATTTCCTCATCTAGTGATCTGCGTAACTGTAGACTGAAATACAAAAAGAAAGATTGCATCTATTTTTTTGTCAATAAATAAACAGTATTATTTAACAACAGTATAACTTTTATGCTCAGTATTCTAAGCTCTGTGCCATTTTATAAAACAAGGGACCTTAGCATCCATCTATGTGGTATGGTGAGCAGCCTAATCCTCCAGGGATACTAAGGAATGACTTAAGGCATTTTATCTTTTCCATATAAACTAGGGATAACTTTTAAAAGCTGAGTATTCATTGTTAAGAAAGTATTGCAAATCATTTTAAATATATAATAAATTCAAGTAAAATTTACATTTTGCTTAATTCTCATAATTTGATTTAATTAAATTTGTTAAGTTTACCAACATTTTTCTTTTGTTCTCCAATACAGCCTTGGCTTGACAATAAGCACACCGTGTTTGGACGAGTGACTAAAGGAATGGAGGTTGTGCAGCGGATTTCCAATGTTAAAGTCAATCCCAAAACAGATAAGCCTTACGAGGATGTCAGCATCATAAACATCACTGTCAAGTAAAATGTGTTCTGTACATTCCAAAGTAAAAGGGACTTACATTAACATGAGACTTTCACATTTGGAAATTTAATACTTGCTGAATATGCAAATCATGTTTTAAAAAACACAAAACTGTATTTTTGTACTTTTAGTTAAAGGCCATTTTTAAAAACTGTCTTTGCTTTTTCTTGGACTATTTCTGATCCTAAGGGGTGACAAACTGAAATGCACTAAATTCAGGAAAATAACATTTCTTATGGGTAAATTCTCTACTGACTCAAATTCAGTATTAAATAATGGGTTGTCATATATTTCTTCTGTTTCAAAAACATGCCCTTATAGGTTTACCAATCCTTAAAAAAAGATGAAAGGGTGTTATATTCCTTATTATAAAATATCCCTTAAATAAAAGTATCAAATAAATGACTACTTGAATCCTTATTTAATGAAAGTTCATTCACTATTTTCACTTGCTTTTCCTAATGTAGCTAAGTAATTTTTCTTCTAATAAATTATATTTTAATTCAGTCACCAACAAGAATAAAAGTAAAATTTAGTACCCAAGAGTAGAAATTAATAGAGAAAGTGGAGCAGTAAACTGTGTGTGGTGGTATGTCCCAGCACATGAAAGGTGGAAGCCAGCCTAGACTATGTAATGTCTCAAAACAAATTGTAACAGTACAATGAGTTTAAAATCTTTATTGATATTATTCTTCACCTCCCTTTGCCATCACTGACTGCTATTCACAACCGATTCTGGCTTCCATTCAGCCTCCTAAGAAATTTAAGAGAGGGACATCTCAGCAAAACCACTGCTCAGTAGCATCATTTCATTTTGTATGGAAATGAAACCTGAAAGATGGAAAAGTATGTCTAATTGTGCCATAAAAGTGTGAAGCCAGGCGGTGGTGGCGAATGCCTTTAATCTCAGCACTTCGGAGACAGAGACAGGCAGATCTGAGTTATAATCCAGCATGGTCTACAAAGTGAATTCCAGGATCAGGATAGCCTGTCTCGTAAAACCAAAAAAAAAAAAAAAAAAAAAAAAAAAAAAAAATGAAGTGTGCTTTACTTTTAAAAAGAATTTGAGCTTACTCCATTAAGGACTTTGTTCCATTTACCTTCTTTTTCTTAAAGTACAGAAATTACACTTATCTAACCTAGCTTTATCCATTCCTAAAGACTTAATGCAAAATTTTGGTAATAATGCCATCAAGTGGTTATAATGCATCACTCCTCAAGCATTCAAGTGTTTTGCTTTAATTGAAGAATCATGTATACAACTAATGAATTTTGTTTTCCTATCATTTTATTTGAAGTAGGGACTCATGTATCTCAGGCTGACATCAAAGACTCTATATAAGTAGTGACCCTGAGTGGTAGCATCACAGACACATACCATGATGCCCAGTTTATGAAGTACTGCTGAGCTGGAATCCAGGGCCTTGTACATATTAGCATGTATTCTTCCAACTGAGCCACATCACCCTTTAATTATTATTAATGCACAAATTCACACTTAGTCTGTTTTCTCCTGTACTCTTTTTTTTGGAAGTATACAGGTATACATCAATCTTCCCTGGTACCAATTCTGTAAGATGAGAACTTTTCCAATATATATATTTTTTTCTTTTTAAGATTTAGACACTTTTTTCAACTCCTTGGTGATGATGATGGGGATGGAATCTCGGGTTTTGTTAAGCATGCCCTCTACCACTGAGCCGCATCTCCTCCAAGCCTACCAAACCAATGTGATGGTCATTACAGTGACATGTAATGGACTGTGTAAATGGTCATTTTAAATGTTCTTTGTTCTCTTTAATCTTGTACATTAACAAGATTAAATGTAAATTTAATCAAAAACTTTTCCCTTTTTTTATTGTAAGAAATTAGCTTTCCCCGAAAAAGTTTCTTCTACATTTTGATTAGTTATAACCTGTATATAAAATCTCTAAACCTTTGCATTATCAAATAAATCCTATTTCAAATGTGGTTAAATCCTTCTCCTCTCCTTTTTGCTTAGGCATAGCACAAATAATGAAGTTTTTCCCTTTTTGCAACGCTAGGGATCAAACCCAGGATTTCATACATGCTAGACAAGTGCTTATACCATTGAGCAATGCCCAGTTGTAATAATGGACTTCTTTTGTGTGTGTGTGGGGGGGTGTGAGACATTGTTTCTATGTGTAACAGCTCTGGCTCTCCTGAAACTCACTCTGTAGACCAGGTTGCCCTCAGAGATCTGCCTGCCTCTGCCTCTTGAGTGTTGGGAATTAAAGCCGTACGCCAACACCACCTGGCTATAATGGACTTCTTACGCTATTTACTAGCAATGACACTAGATGCACAATTTATTAAGCAGTTTTTATAATAACAAAACTCCTTATAGGATAAATATTTTATTGCTTTCTGTGCTGATCATATATGTAAGTGCAAATAATGACTTCTGCTGGCTATAAATCATTCCTGAATTACAGACCAGGGCTAAACACTCGTTGACATACCTGCTGTGTATAATTTATACAGTAATAACTAGATATAATATAGAATTTCGGAGATATAAAGCAAATCCTAAGAATCTGCTGATTCTTAAAATCTGACACTTCCGAAAGAGTATATAATCTTAACAAATGACTAGTCAAACGATTAAGTATGCACAGTAAATAGGAGCCCGCCTGAGAAAAACAATCACACTTAAACACTACAGTATACCTATATTATAGTCATATTTAAGCACAATTTTAAAATTATGTTTGGTTGTATTTTAAAAATATGAATTACAAAGTTTAACAAAATTAGTGAAATAATATACTTCATAATTTACAAGAAAATCAAGTACACATCTTAGTGACAACACATTTTCAGTTACCTAGTACATAAAATAGTTCAAGGTCTCACAAGCAATGCAGTATTTTTATTTTTCACAGTTACTAAAATCAGTCAAATATTAAATAATTTAATTACAAAGTATTACATGTGCACATAAACTACTTGTAACAGCATGACCAGTTACTTTCTTAAAAAACCAAGGACAAAATATTATATTTTTATTTACATATGTGATGGGCTTTTTCTAATGCTGTTTTCTAAAAGGTTTACAAAAAAAAAAAAGTACATTTGAAAAAACTGAATCAGAACAGTGCCACCTAAAAATTACATCACTGTCCTTGTAACAACTGCACTACGGTTTAAAAATCAGCTTCATCCTAAAGTAAGAAGAGCATTAAAAACAAGAAATCTTGCTATTTAACAAATTCAAGAAATCATGCTTCCATAATGAGAGTACCCTTTACAAATAAGAAACCATAAAGAATGCAGAATTTAACTTTTATTCACAATACTGCCATAATAAATGTAAACTTTTATAAATGTTTCTTTTTCTATAGACATGTTCTTCTTAACTGAGACCGTCCTCAAGAGCCTTGACCCTTTTTATTATCATGTGAATGCACTTAGCTTGGGAACCTTGTTAAAGAAATTAGCATTCCCTACTGTTTGAATAACTTTCCCTAAGGGGTAGGTAGTTTTCTATTTAGGTCTCTATGTGTTCATATAAAGGCCACTTAGGACACTTTACCAACAAAGGATGCAATATTACTTAGCCTAAGTAAATGCTTGAACTAAAGGACCAATTTAGGACCCTGTCCTAGGAAATAAACCTAGGCCCAATCCTGGAAATGGTTCTTGTTAGTGAAGATCAAACAACTTTCACAGTTTTATTGTTCTTAGTTTAGAAGTGCTCTAATGATCAGGTCCACTTAGATATTATTCTCTTTGTGCGCTATGCAAAATGCTTTAGGAGAGAGTTCTAATAAAACTGTAGAAAACACTGATTTTCTCTAGTTTATACTCCCCAGCATTAATGATACTGTTATACCCAATACAGCTTCAATTCCAGTACACAACTGCCATATCTACTGCCAAAACTGAGTAAAAAGGCGGGTAAAGAAGCTGTACTTCCCTAGGATCTGTTAGGCACACCACTGGCTGTTTTTTTTTTTTTTTTTTTTTTTCACTTGAAATAAAGAACCTTCTCTTACCTGTTCTCTATGACTACTCCTCCCTAATATACAGGTCATCTATAAACTGAAAGTCTCCAGTACCTAATGTACCTTTTAAAAGTCTATATCCAAGAAATTTCTATTTAACCAACGTAATATGCTCATTTAAAACTGCCACAGAATAATTTTAAAAAGCAATGGCATACTTAGTTCTCAGTCCAGAATTCTTATATATACACATCCTATATTAACTATCATATTTGAGATGTAAGATTTCTTAGGATACATTACATGCAAACTTTTAACCATAAGCTTGAAACAACTGCTGCATTAGAATCAAGCAACATCCAACACTCCAGCAGCCACAAGTTGCCGGGACAGCCAGTCCAACCCTTCGTAGAGCCCCATACCACTTCGAGCATCACAACCCTGAATATACCAGCTCCTACCACAGCATAGTTTATGGAGACTGAGAAGTTCAGTGATTTCTTCTACTGATAGGGCTCCAGCAACATCCTAAAAGACACAAAATATAATTTTTATCAGTCCTTCCAAGGGATCATTTTTCTCTTACTATCTATATAAAAATTTTTGTTTGTTTTTCAAAACAGGGTTCCTCTGTGTAGCCTTGTCTGTCTTGGAACCTCTTTGTAGACCAAGCTGGCCTAGAACTTGGAGATCCATCTGCCTCTGCCTGAGTGTTGGGATTAAAGGCTTGTGCCCCCATTGCCCCACATCTAATAACATTCTAACTGAATCCTAAACAAAACCTATATTTACATTCAGTAATTATTCTGAGATAAATTTGAAAGAAATAAAGAGTTTTAGCTAGAAGTATCTATATATTAAGGGCAATATGATGAAATCAATCATAGTTATTCCTCCTATCTGAAAGGTCACCATAAGGCATCAGCTATATGGCCCCATCTCGCCCAAAAAGAAAAGAAGTACATATATAACATTTAAAAAACAAAAAACAAACAAAAAAACCAAGTGGTTTATGTAGAAACCAACAGGAAGATATTTTTCAACTTAATATGTTATCAACACATGTGGGTTATCTTAACATTAAAACTGCTTTCTTTACATAGATGCAATGTAATTACTAACAACACCTGCAATTATTGAAGTCATGTGTTCATATGCTACTATAAACCTATATATATGGTTAAGCCTTCTACATCCATGGATTTAACTAACTAGTTTAAATTTTTTCAAATATTATATGCCCATTCTGAACATTCCTTGCTCCTACTTCTCAGAAGCAACAATCAGTAACATTTTCTTACAGAACATACAAACCTGTACTTGTTATCCCCTAAACAATAAAAGCTAACAACTATTAACATACCATTTACATTTCTCTAAGTCTTATAAGTAACCAACGGCTGATGTCAAGAATATAGGAGAATGTGTGAGTTATACACAAATACTAAATATTATAAAAAGAATGTAAACATCCAAAGGCTATGTTACATAAGTTTATCTACATTTACAAAATTATCTTGGGTAACATGATATACTACTATAGACCTTGAGAGTAAAGGAGTATATGTATCTAGAACTTGAACAGATGTTGCCACTGTCTTGTAATAAACTGTTTAGTTAACTATGCTAGCAGTGTATGACTCTAAGGATTCTGATAGTTCATCTTTAGCAACAATACAGGTATCTTATCTATATGTTTACTGGTCAGGTAAGGATGTTTCAGTTCTTTTTGTTTGCCTGTTCTTGTTAATTTTTAGTGAGGTGAAAATTCTTTATTTTTCATTCTACTTTCCCCTCCTGTGACATCTACTGTATTTAACTTTACTTCAGAGAAATGGAGAAATGGCTCCATGGTTTGCATTGGTCACTCTTCCAGAGGACCTTGGTTTTATTCCCAGCACCCAAATGTCCTCACAACTATGAGGCTTGGCTTATGATTGTCTGTTTTTCCAGTTTCAGGAGCTCTGACACCCTTCTTCTGGCCTCTGTGGGCACCAGGCATACACATGCACAAATATATGCAGAGGAAATACCCATCCACAAAGCGTAATTAAAACCCCACCATTGCTTCAGTTAAAAGCATTCTGTCACGCTGGGCAATGGTGGCACACCTTTAATTCTAACCCTAGGGAGGCAGAGGCAGGTGGATACCTGTGAGTTCAAGGCTAGCCTGGTATTGAGAGCAAGTTCCAGGACAGGCTCCAATGCTACACAAAGAACCTCCCCCTCCCCCTCCCCCCCCACCCCCCAAAAAACACAAAAAGCATTCTAACCCCCTGTGAAGCTCAGGCACTAAGAGTCTAGCCTCCCCTACCTTATCTTTCATCTTCTCTATTCAGCCACTATTCTAAATCTACCTTACAGAAGTCCTCCTATCTCCTCCCATCTTTCTATTCCTCTAATTCAAGGTATTATTAATTACATGTCCTATGTTTACTACCTGGCTGTGTTTTGTTTTGTTTTGTTTTTACCCCCAAAATTAGTCTTAACATTTTGGTATGATGTTATCATGTACAAGTCCAAAAAGTTTGATATTTTTTTCCTTTTGCATAAAATCTTAACCTTTTTATTCTAGTCCTGCAAGGCCTTTACAACATAACCAGATCTATTAATCTAGGTCTTCTTCATCCTCTACCTGAATCTCTTAAAAATACATGTTATGTCTCTTCTTGTTAGTATTATTTCCTTTATCTACAGGCCCAAAGACATCTATAAAATCATCCTATCACAATTTTAATTCCAATCTTATAACCTAAGCCTTTTATTTTCTTGAGACAGGGTCTTGCTATGCAGCTCATGCTAGCTTTGAGATTTCTATATAGGCCAGGAAAGCCTAAACTCTTGTTCCTCTTGATCTACCTCCCTCAATACTACATTTAGATTCTTTTATTTTTTTTTTTGAGGGGGGGGTAGAGATAGGGTTTCTCTCTGTGGCTTTGGAGGCTGTCCTGGAACTAGCTCTTGTAGACCAGGCTGGTCTTGAACTCACAGAAATCTGCCTGCCTCTGCCTCCCGAGTACTGGGATTAAAGACGTGTGCCACCACCACCCGGCTTTACATTTAGATTCTTTAAGATACCAATTCATTTAGAATAGCTGTCTCCTGATTGAAGTTACTTCCCAGTTTATCTTTATTAGAATATAACACGCTCCATAAACAAGAATGCACTGTCTGCATCAATTCATTGATTTGTGTGTTTATGTGTACTCTAGGATAACCAAGGTAATATTTTCCATAGCAGAAATTTTATAGATAGCTATTGAGTTGATTCTTTGAGATCTTCTCATCTTACTTATGACATGGAATACACAAAGCTACTAAAGTAATAAGTGTTTTGATATAAAAAAAATCTATTACCTGTTTGTTAGCAAAAATCAGAAGCAAGGCATCTCGGAGTTCTTTTTCCGTTAACAACTTTGCAAGTTCGCTGTGTGCTTCACTGATTCTGTCTCTATGACTGCTATCAACAACAAATACAACAGCTACCAAAAATACACAAAAATACTCAAGTTATTTGTTAAATTTCAGTAAATTAACGAAGTAATATTCATTATTCTAGCTAAATTTTGTTTACCATCTCTGTCTTCATTTAAAGGTTGCCTACTTAATAGCAGAACTTAATAATTTTTTTCCTTTTTGCAAATGTTTTAATGTTTCTAGTTTTGCAAACTATCAGTTCTTATCTGAATTTTTTCCTAAGTGCTTTTGTGACAAAACATCAAAAACATAAAATGCCTTAAAAATGGCACAAATGTAATGCCCTACAGTTGTGAAGATCAAACATCCAGAGTAGGTTAAAAATCAAAGTATCAGCAGGAATGTACTTCCATAGGCCATTGCTGAGAAACAGTTCTTGCTGGCCAATATATTGTGGTCTTTACTCACTAGACCATTAGCAACCCCACACCTCAGTTCTGAAGCAATTCCTTATAAATTACCAGGTCAAAATCGCTTCTCATAGAGCTTTATACTCTGACTCACACTCCTTTGTAGTACTTAATAATTAATGATATAATCTTAGTTTACTTCACAAGTTTACTTTCTCCTCCTCTGATAGGATTTATAAAACTGACTCTACCAAACACGAACGGCTCTCCTCTCTAATGTGCTTAAGATCTACCTTGAGGCTACTATTATTTGAAATTCCTTCCTTTACAAAAAGTCTTACAAAAGCAGAAGGGGAGGACTCTTTTGGTGTAGGAGGGTCATTAAGAGGAAGGACAGTATAATGACACATACATACAAAAGTGCCATAATGAAACTCATTACTTTGTATGCTAACCTAAAAACAAACAAACAAACAAACAAACAAACCAAACAAATAAAAAAAAAATGCTGGGTACACTCTGGAGGCAGAGGATCTTTATGAGTTTGAAGCCAGCCTAGTCTACATAGCAAGCTCCAGGCCAGGTAAGGCTACATAATGAGACTATGTCTCAAAACTTAAAAAAAAACAAAAAACAAAAAACCGTTTTAGGGGAAAAAAATACAATCTTTACAAAATAAAGTATCACCATGATTATCTCTCTAAAGTATTCTTCTCCTTCAAAATTAGGGCTTATAGTAACCATAATAACTAAATGTCCTGGTTAAAAAGAGTCTAACATTTAAATGGGAATAGGATGGATGACAACCTAAACAAGTGTATGAGTATGTTTCATGGGGGGGGGGAGTGTAGAATGGAGACAGGTGTGATAAAGGCTAGATGGAATGCTGGGGTATGTATAGTTTGGTCAAGAGAAAGCTATGATGGGTTCCTCTGGGATCACACTATATATAAATCAGGCAGTAGTGATGTTGAACAATCATAAATTACAATAGGCTAAATGTTACCCTCAGAATACACATATATGTCACAAATTCAACTTCATGTTGCCTTATGGTCAGCAATCATATCCATAAGAATACTGATAACAGATTTCAACTTTAATAACAACCAACAGGAGGTATTTTTTTTTATTCTATAATAATGGCTTTTCATGAGTAACCGGATGTACATATCCCAATTTTACCGTTACTTTTTAAATTTAAATAAAATACATTTACATCATTCCCTCCACTATTCTCCTCTGCTCAAATTCTGCCATTATTCTTTTAAATAACAGTTTTGTTAGAAAAATCAGAGGACTAAAAACTCATCTTAAGAATCTTTTTAAGTTAAAAAAAAATTGTCATTCTTGACTCTTACCTTGTGTATTGAGGTAATAATGTTTCCACAATGGTCTTAATTTGTGCTTTCCACCCACATCCCAAATGGTAAATTTTAGATTTTTGTATTCCACAGTTTCCACATTAAAACCTGTTTTGCCAAAACATTACTTTTGTATTTATATTTAACAATGAATGACACATCAAACAGAAACAAATCCCTGTTTATATTTTGAGTTAGCAATTGTCTGCTTACAGCAATAGCTACTGAAGCCAAACCAACTATACTTCTAGTCCTTTGGGGAATATCTACCTTTAACAGCTGCAGGACCGCTACAGTTTCACCAGGGTCCTCAGGACCTGGGCATCCATATATCTGCCAGCTCTGTACCACTGCCACCACCTCATTCCAAACATCAGCCAGATTCTGTAAGCTTCTATTCCATCTGACTGTCCTATCAGCATTCAGTCCTCTTTGCTATATCACCATGCATACTTCAGCCCCCACAACCATGATCTCGTTTTTTTTTTGTGTGTGTTGTCTTAGCATCAGAAAGGGGAACCTGCATACCATCACACTCACAGAATTCAGCTAGCTACAGGCCAGTTGGCTATCAGTACTCAAACTTACCAATTGTAGGAATAGGCTGCATAAACTCATCTTGTTTTAACTTGAATAAAATAGTAGTTTTCCCAGCACCATCTAATCCTAATGTAACTACTCGGATTTCCATTTTGGGTCCAATATGAACTCTGTTGTCCTGTGGTTTTGAAAAAAATGAAGTCAGAATATGACAATATTTATGTTGTTGTTTTGTTTTAACCATGTTGAGTGACAGACCTTGTCCCAGAACAATGTTAAGGCACCTGACACTAGCCTCCAGCCTGCAGTTACATGCATACACATGTATATGCAAACACATGAACATGTAAATATCACACAGAAATTTAAAACCTCAAAAAAGGGATAATTAAAAATAAAGACCACTGTTAAACGTCCTGCAATATCTCTTATTAATAATACTGGTCCATATTTTTCTAGATACATTCCACATTGGATAAGAAACATAAAACAAATTACTATTCATTTCCTTTTTTGTGTGTGTGTATTTTTCTAGTGCTAGGAAACAAACTCAGGGTTTCATCCTGCAACAAAAAACAATATATCCCAACTCTCCAAGTATGTTTTGAAAAACAATATACAGATAATACAACTATTATATTTCACTTGCCATATGTTATGGAAAGCTTTCACTTTAATATATACTGACCAAACAATTTTGATAGTTTACAATCTGTGAACAACTTAACCAATCTGTCAGATTTTAGATCATTTCTTACTTTTTGATGTTCACAGAGAATTGAAATGAACATATGTATACACATTCCTAGTGTAAGACCTGTCTATCTTCTTTGAATTATAAAAATGAGACTAAAAAGGAAACATTTACTAGACTATGTTTTAAATTTATATAAAAATTTGTACAATAATTCCTGACATTTAAGTGCTATCTGTTGTTAGAAATTATTGTTTTGCTCCCTTTTTAGAGTACTATTTTTTAACTTTCATTTTTTTAAATATGTAATTTATTTTTATTTTATGTTCATTGGTGTTTTGCCTGCATGCGTGTCTGTGTGAGAGTGTCAGAAGCCCTGGAACTAGGTGTGAACTGCCATGTGGGTGATGGAATTGAACCTGGGTCCTCTGGAAGAACAGCCAGTATTCTTAAACATTGAGCCATCTCTCCAGCCCATCAAATACTATTTTTTTTTTTTTTGTTTTTGTTTTTTGAGACAGGGTTTCTCTGTGTAGCTTTGGAGCCTATCATGGCACTCACTCTGTAGACCTCATAGAGATCCGCCTGCCTCTGCCTCCTGAGTGCCGGGATTAAAGGCGTGCGCCACCAACACCTGGCTATTTTCTTGACTTAAATTTTTCTAGCTACTAATGCCCTTTTTAGAATCTTATTTTCTTTTCAAATGTAAATATTTTTTTAGAAACTTATGAGATCTTCCTTTTCATTCTAGTTAAGCTCAATTGTTCCATAAGCATCAACTTTATCTATCTATGGGCTCCCAAGTCTGCAGTGTAGTTCCATACTACATCTCAGAAATATGATATAAAGACACAACTCTAATTGTGAGAACCTCAGATACTAGCTAAGATACCACACACTTAGGCCAAGACAAAACCAAAAAGAAAACTGTGGTTGGAACTAGTGGAAGAGCTTTATTAGTATGGACAAGGCCGAGTTTGATCCCTAGTCCTGCTAATAAATAGACAAATAAGTTGAGGCATTCTTAGTGTCCATCACTGTTCTTTCCTTACCAAACATAACAAGATATAAACTAGAGAATTATAAAATACTAGTAAACTGCATGCAACAACTAATTAAAATGATTTTATACCATGACCAAATGGGTTTGTGCCAGGAAGACATTTCAACATCAACTTAATATACCCCCCATCAACAAATGAGGGCAAGAACCAAGTGATGATCTCAACTGACACCAACAGAGTATTTTAGAAAATCTATATGCCTTTACAATAAAAAAAATTAACAAAACACTAATAGAAACCATACACATGAAAATCCCATAGTTAACACATCTAAGGTAAGAAAAAGTCAAATCTCCCTTCTAGCCATCTCTAATTTACATGGTATTACAGGAGTATTCAACATACTACTGGATTAGAAATCTTAACTAGAACAACTAAGAAGACATAAAAACATCCAAATCAAAAAAAAAAAAAAAAGTGAAATTCTCTTTATAAATGGCATGATCTTGATGTAGGAAACCCTGAAGACCCACCCCCCCAAAAAAACCTGTTAGAATATATAAAGACACAAGATCAACAGAAAGACAAGTTCTATTTTTATACATTAATAATGAACAATTCAAAATGGAATCTAAGAAAGCAATCACATTTACAACAGAAGTATCAAGAGCAATAAAACACTTAATAACAAACTTAGCTAAACACTTCAAAGACCTGTCCATTGAAAAATACAAAACATAAAAATAAATAAAACTTAAGAAAGCAGAGGAGAGGGTTAGTGAGGTGGCTCCGTGGCTCATTTATTGTTCTTGCAAGAGGCCAAGGTTCAGTTCCCAGCATCCACATAGAGGCTCACAACAGTTTGTAACTCCAGTTCCAGGGAATCTGACATCCTGATCTGGCTTCATCAGGTACCAGGCAAAAATGACGTGCACATACATATATGCAGTCAAAATATTATAGCCACAAAAAAAGTAATTTTAAAAAACTGGAAAGCATTGCTATATTTCCACACATACAAGACACTTAACAAAGGGGCTAGAAAGATGACTCAAAGATTAAGAGCACTGGCTGCTCTTCCAGAGGTCCTAAGTTCAATTCTCAGTACCCACAAGGTGGCTCAAACCATCTATAGTGGGATCTGACGCCCTCTTCTAGCATAAAGGCATACATTTAGATAGAGCATCATATACATAAAATAAATAAATCTAAAAAAATTAATAAAGACGTCTTAGGCATTCCATGTTCATAGATCTGAAAAATCAATATTGTTCAGGTGTCAGTGTAAGTTCTACCCAAATCCCAATGACATGGAGTGAAAGTACTCTTCAATGGTAGAGTATTTGTATAATATATGCCAAATTACAGATTAGAAAACAAAAAGACAACTTTTGTGGGGAAGAAAAAAATGTTATAGGCCTCAAGGAACACAGCTAAAACAATTTTGAAGAGAACAGAGTCAGAGGACTAACACTTTCTGACATCAAAATATTTTACAAAGCCACAGAAATGAAAAACATGTGGACTGACGCAAAACCAAACAAACCGAGTAAAGTGCCCAAATGTAAACCACCACATATACAACCAAATGATCTGCACCACGGATTCCAAAGATGACTCAACAAAGAAAAAAGATGGTCTTCAAACCTGTAATGAATAAACTGAAGATTGGTGTGTGAAAGAATGAACAGGTACGCTTATTTTACACCACACACAAAAATTAACTCAAAATGAATTAAATGAAAGCACTCCTAACTATAAAGCTAGAAGAATACAAAGAAAAGCTTCAATACCTTGAACCTGACAATAAATACCTGGATATGATACCAAAGCACAGGCAACAAAACCGAAACAGGCTGGCAGTGGTGGCATTCGCCTTTAATCCTAGCACTCAGGAGGCAGAGGCAGGCAGATCTCTGTGAGTTCAAGTCCAGCCTGATCTACAGAGAGAATTTCAGAAACCAGGTCTCGAAACACACACACACACACACACACACACACACACACACACACACACACACACGCACGCACGCACGCACGCACGCACGCACGCGCGCGCAGCAAGAACAGGTAAAGAAATTTACATCAAATTTAAGACCTTTCTGCATAACAGGTCATAATCAACATAGTGAAAAAGAAATTTATCAAATGAAGTAAAATATCTAGAAATTAAAAAAAAAAAAAGCTGAAAAGAGACTGGTAAATACCCATGATTCATAAAGAACTCTTAAACAACAACAAAAAAAGTGAACCAAAATCTTATAGTTACTCAAGACAAACAACAGGAAAGTATACGAAAGAAACATTGTTAACCAAAACAAAATGCAAAATAAGACCACAGTTAAGATAAAATGTCATACAGGTTAAGATGGCCACTATCCAAAATGTGGAGAAATTATAATATTTGTACAACAACAGTAAGATTATGATATGTTAACCATATGTAAAATACCACAGAAATTCCTGATAACATATGTGGCTGAATGCTTGCAAAACATGCACAAAGCTGTGGGTTCCATGCCCAGCATGACAAAAACCTGGTGTGATGACACAAGCCTATAATCCCAGCACTGGAGGTTGAATCATGAGTATCATCATTAGTTCAGTGTCATCCTTAGCTATTATATAGTGAGTTTGAGACCAGCACAGGCTACATACAAACCTTTCTCACAACAAAAAAAAATTTAAAATTTTTAATGGAAAATTTGAAAAAAACTTACTACATGACCCCTAACTTTTATTTCTGGGTATATCACCACAAGAACTGAAAATGGAGGCTTGCAGAGATAGCTAGACAGGAACGGGAGAGATGGCTCCTCGGTTAAGAGCACTGGCCACTCCTTCAGAATGTTTTCCAAAAAGAATCTAAGAAATTTGAGTATTAGCTGGATACCTGACAGTAAAGTATAAAAATATAAAATTACTAAATGTCTTGGGTACAATTCTACTTAAACTGTGAAATAAGAACAGAGATTTAATCTCACTTGTTTCTATTGCCCACTGATGAAAGTTTTTATTGAAATTTTACAACTCATGAGTTCCCTAGTGTCCTCCTTAATTTGATTTACATTTCATGCTACTTGCAATTTGTAGAAAGCATAGGTAAAAACAAGGGCAATACATCACCTTTGTAAAAGTGACTGGGATACTGGCATCCAACTGAATGTGATCTGCAACCTCTGTAAACTGCTGCTGCTGTTTCTGCAGTGTTTCTAATAATCTTGTAATTTCTTGTTTTGCCAAGACAACTCTGCAATCATCCTAGAAAACAAGATGGTATTTCCTATAAAGTTTTCCTCTTAAAAATGGAGACTCCATCAACTTTCAATAAAGACCATGTAATATCACAGTATTAAAAGTAAATTTTAGAAGCTAAGGAGCTACAGATTAGTTTGCAAAAGGCTTGCCTCATGAGCATGAGAACTTTGAATTCAATCCTCAGAACCTATGTAAAAAGCAAGGCACAGTGGTACTTGCTTGTCGTGCTGGAGAGATGTACAGTACATTACATTGGTAAACCCATGTGTTGTTTGAGCTCACTGAGAAGCTGGCTCAGGAACTGGGGTTGCTTCCCTACTTCTGAGCCATGTCTGTTTATGTTAAGTGTCCTCCAAGCCCCTTGTCTGGCACTAACTCTGTGACGAGAAAGGGAACAGCAAAAGAGATCAAGGGTAAAAACATCATATCTTAGTTAGGATTCTATTGCTGTGATAAAACAACATAACCAAAAGAAACTTGGAGAGGAAGGATTTATATCAGCTTACAGTTTCACATCACAGTCCATCCCTAAGGGAAGGCATGGCAGGAACTCAAACAGGGCAGGAATCTGGAAGCAAGAACTCATGAAGAGGTCATAGAGGAATGCTGCTTACTGGCTTGTTCTCCATGACTTGCTCAATGTTTTCTTATAGCACCCAGGACCACCAGCCCAGGATGAGCTGGGCCCACCCACATCAATCATTAATCAAAAAAATTCATCACAGGGTGACCCTAAGGCCAATCCAGTGAGGGCATTTCCTCAATTGCCATTCCATCTTCCAAAATCACTCTAGGCCCTATCAAGTTGATATTAAACTAGCCAGCAAACATCATGTCCTTACAAACAGCAAGAGAACAAACATTCCGAACATGTTACTATTGTTGCTTTATCCCATGATATAAAAGTGCCTACGGTCAGAAAGAAAAGTATGAAGTTCAGCCACAGGAAGCTCATCCATGGAGAGAAAGCTCAATTGGGAACTCTAGCTGGCTGCATTAACTTCTCCAGTTGATTTCTGCTGGACATTGTGAGCACCTGATTTGATGATGTTATTTCTACCTGTGGCTATTTTTTCTTTTACTCAGAAGACTCAATCAAGGCCCTGTTCTGCCTGGAATTCCAGCAAGAACTCTAGCTGGCTGCCTCATGGAGCTTCCCTAGTCAGCTTCTGCTGAGTATTTGTAAGTCCCCAGTTTGACTATGTCATGTTCCTACTGTTACTTGTTTTTTGTGTTTTTCTTTTTTTTTTTTTTCTGAAAATTTCATCTGAGAGGACAATCTGCTCTGCCAGAGACTCTAGCTGGTTGCCTTAGGATTTCTATAGTCAGTAGTTTCTGCTGGATGTTTTGAGCACCCAATTTGATATTTCCCACCCAACCCCCCTGCCCCTCCCAATTTATCTATCTACAGCCATCTATCCATCTATCTACCTATTTGTCATCTATCACTTACTACTTACACTTTTACTTTGGCTTGATATACACTTCACTCATTTTTGAGGCAGGGTCTAAATGTATAGCTTTGGCTAGTCTGAAATTCACATTGTAAACTAGGTCAGCCTTGAACTCACAGAAATCAACCTGACTATGCCTCCCTAGTGCTAGGATAAAGAAGTGCACCACCACACCCAGCTACATACATAGACTTTTTTGTTTGAATTTTCAAATTTTTATTTGCATACATCTACTAATAACTTCACATTTAGAACACTTAGCATCAACATGACCAAGAATTAAATGACAAATATTTGAAGTGGGGGAAATCAAAAAGAAAACTGTATGTACATGAGTGTTTTGCCTACATATTTCTCTATGCACCACATGTGTGCAGTGCCCATGAAAATATAAGAAACCTGTAAGAAGAACCCCATGAGCTTTTCAAAAACTTCATCTCCTCCTGTGACGACTGATTAGTCACAGGAAGCCCAAGCCAAGAGTAACCCACAGCAAGTTGCCTCCTGCCTTCCAGCTTCCCTCTCTTGCTCCCTATTAAAAGTACCCAAGATGAAGCTAGAAGAAAATATACTTACACAGTTCCAGACCCAGTATCAATAGATTTAAAAGAGTAAGAACAGAATCAAAGCACATTATAAATAGCACGTATACCGTCATGAAAATCTTGGTCATGAACTTGATGTAAATAGGAAAAGGGGCCTGGTGGCTGTGGCAGTGGCGGTGGTGCACATCTTTAATCCCAGCACTCGGGAGGCAGAGGCAGGCAGATCTCTATGAGCTCAAGGTCATCCTGGTCTACAGAGCAAGTTCCAAGACAGGCTCCAAAGCTACAGAAAAACCTTGTCCTGAAAAACCCAAGGAATGAGGAACCTCAGATGAGGAATTGCTTCCATTGCCTTGGCCAGTTGGCCCATGGCCATGTCTACAGTGGGTGGTTCCACCCCTGGACAGGGAGGTCTGAGCCACATAGAAAAGGTAGCTGAGCAAGACAAGGGAAGCAACCCACTAAGTAGCATTCCTACTTTCAATTCCTGTCTCCACCTTCCTTCCTTGGCTTCCCTCACTGACAGACTGTTACCTGTAAGACAAAAAACAAAACAAAACAAAAAACATTTCCAGCCCCAAGATGGTTTCTGTCAGCATTTTACATAGCAACAGAAAACAAACGAGGACACACATCAACTTTTACAAGTGAATATGACATAGGTAGGCTCAACAACAAACAAGACTAATAATGAGCTTGTAGGCTGGCCACACTCTGTATCATGAGCCACGTAAGAGAAAATTTTCAACATTGGTAAAAGTTTTAAATTATAATTTGAAATCAGCAGCACATCAGTGAAGACAAGATAGACTTCAGCTTTTCAAAAATTCCTAGGGCAATAATTACCCCTTACCTCCCACTTGTGACATTTTTGCTAGGACAACCTAGAATTTCACTTATTGAATTAAAAAAAAAAAGGAAATCATCTACAAAGTGAGTGATGAATCAAAGCATCCAAGAGTAAACATTTGAGTTACACCTTGAAGGAAGATTTCCACTGAAAGAAAAGAATATACTCCACATCAAAAGACAGAACATGTGTGATAAAGGAAGGCAAAAAGACTTAGCATGATTGAAGAATGACATTGCAGGGATCTTAGACTCTGTAGCTTTATGACAGGAACCGCATATGAACACTAATATGGTTGGTGGAACAATATGAAGTTAGAGACCACGTCCTAAGAACAATACAGCTGAACCCAGTCACTTAATTAATGAAAGAGTAGAGTGTATCTCTGAGAATTGTGTGTTTAACATTGAAAATATAGCCTAACCACATTTGAATTACCTACCTGCTGCAAAGTCTTTTCACAATGGAGACAGGCTGTTGAAACCTGGGACAAGAGAATGGTCATATCCTCTTGTTGCTGCCTGAGCCAAATCAGTTTTTCTCGAACATGAGCATCAACAACACTTAGAGCCATTTCTTCTTGACGACAAAGAGTTTCATGTAAATCAGAAAAATAAGCTCGGACACATGATCGGGCATTCTCTGCAGTACCTGGGACCTATGAAAACAAGAATAAATTTTAAGCAATTAAAACACTGAATACTTTATATGTAAAATAGCAAATATGAATACCATTTACACCCTTAAAGATTTTAATCTCTCCATTAGACCTTCCCCTATAACTACGTATGCTTTGAAATTTAACTGTCAATAAATTGTATCTGAAGCAAAATGAAACCTAATCTCCAGTTTTCCCCATTTCCAAACCTAATTTCAGCAAATGGTAACTTCAGCCAAGTGGCTGAAGTTAAAAAAAAAAAAAAAAGAAAAAAAGAAAAAAGAAAAACCAAAATTCATCCTTAACATCTCTTTCATATTCCATAACTAGTATTTGAAAATTCTGCTGACTTAAAAATATTTCCAAAATTGCCGGGCGTTGTTGGTGCACGCCTTTAATCCCAGCACTTGGGAGGCAGAGGCAGGCGGGACTCTGTGAGGTTGAGAACATCCTGGTCTACAAGAGCTAGTTCCAGGACAGCCTCCAAAAGCCAGAGAAACCCTGTCTCGAAAAACCAAAAAAAAATTCCAGAATCTAGTCATGCTTTACTGCCACTACCTCCAACAAACTGGTCCACACAATGTAATTTCTCATCTGATTATGGTAAAGAGCATTCTAACTTCTCTTAATGTCCTGACCAAACAAACCACCCACCAATCAATACTGACAACTAATTGCCAAGACTTAACTACCATTTAAAATCTCAAATCCATCCTCTTTTTTATCGCTACTCCAATATTACAGGACATAAACATCTCTAAACTGATTTCAACAGTGTCTTAACAGATCTTCCTGCTTCCATTACTACTGTTTTTCTAATTCACTTTCTACATTTAACAGGAACATTCTTAATGTAAATGTGATTATTTCATTTCTTATTTCATTCCTATGTCAATAGTTTAATGGCTCATATTGGTCTTAAGCTGAAGTTCTAAACTCTTCATCATGACTAAACTTTTAAGTCTTCAAGTTTTCTTGTTGTTAGACCCAACTCAATGCTCCAAACATAGTGAACTTCTTTAAGAATCCACAATCTATCCAGTCTTTACTTATAGTCACTTACGTGCATTCCTCCCTTTGTGGGATAACTGACTCACAACCCACTCTTCTGTCTGACTGAATTCCTTCAAATCTCAGTTTAACCATCACTTCTAGAAAGCCTTCCACAAACTATATGATGTATTATACATCTTATATACTACCAAGTATATACTGTAGTACTTCCCTACCCACAACACAAAATAATTATCAAATTTGAAACTCTCTTATATGATAGATTATAAATACCATGAAGACAAAAAGAGTTTCAAAAAATTTATGTTCACCATCCAGAGTAGTACTAGCCCATTGTAACTGGATAATAATCAGAAGGGGCAAAAAAATGAGAATGAAAAGGTTAAGAAGATAAAGAGGGAACAAAAAAATCCATACATGTTCTGTGTGAGCCATTCCAAGTCCATCTTCCACTATTTGTTCTCCTCCTTCAATGTGCTGAACAATTCCAACTAATTTTCTGGAATAATCTGAGATTTCTTCAGTGAAGGTCCGTATGCAGTGAGCCATATCTAAAATTGATGCTCGGATCTGGTTAGCTTCTGGTTCCAGTACTGAATGCTACAGATACAACACAATTATAGGAAAGAATTCATAGTGGTGAGTGGTGTCTACTGATTTACAAAAACTACTTATAATCCCTTTTTAGTAAAAACAAACATCAGCCTCAAGTGGCTTTTGTTAAACATTTCAAACAAGTACAACATTAGAAGACAAAAAAATATTAATTTTCACTCCTTTTTTAGAGACCTATACTACAAAGAAATAAACCAGAAGTTGGAAGTACATGTATTGTTATACAAGAAACTAAGAGTTCATCCAAAATTATATCCTGAGTTATCAATAGATATAAATATTATCAAGGCAGTACATATTACAAAAACATGCACACAAAGATGAGACTTTTTGTCTCCTGCTGGAAATAATCATGAAGACTCTCTGAAATTAAACTATTTAGAAACTAAAATCCTCAATTTCTTCCATGCTACTGAGGCCAAATCATTCACTACATCTTTCATCAGTTCTGCCTTCACAAAAATAAACAGGTCAATGAAAACAAACGCTAGGCTGGTAAAATAGCTATTTATCCAACTGAATTAAGTTCATACCTTGTGACCTTGGTGCTTTCCATATTCTTTGCAGACACAGCACATGAGTGGGCTAGTTTGACAACCTTCTTCCAAGCAAACAAACTCAATGGCATGCACCTGGTGCTGGGAGCACATGGTTTTCTCATGAGGTTTATCAGCTAGAGGCACTCGCCTATGCTTTGCTAATGTCTTTGTAGAATGAGTAACTTGAGAACACTCTGAGCACAAGTGAGTTGCACACACAGTGCAATATACCGATGCAACGTGAGCTTCATCTTCATCACAGCGGATGATGCTCTGATAAACAAAAGATTAATGCCTTAAAACTGAACCCACTCATTAAAACATGGCAAATTTTCACCTACAAAAACCCACAATCTTTTGTATTTAACTTTAACAGGCTCATACATGATATTAAAAAAGCAACTTCGTTAAGTTAATCACTCCAAATAGAAACAAAGAACTAAGGAATTAAACAAAGAAAACCAAAGTAAGCAAAGCAAAATGGTCCTCAAAATAAGTGGCTTCTAGAGCCAGAAGTAGTTCTAGAAACTTTCATCCATGATGCAACCAAACACATTACAGAACAAAAGGAAGAAACAGAAAACAACCAGCAGCAGCTTAATAACTAGTCAGCTGGATATAGCTTAGTTGATCACAAGGATTTCCTTGACCAACCAAAGTTCAGCTTCTTCAATTAACTAAATTATGCCAAAACTCTATATTGGTTTGGTCTACTGGACTCAGTACATGCATCAATGGCCTCCTAGAAATTTTATTTAATAATGAAATATACTGGTAACTAACTATAAAGGTCATATGCTACCTATCCATCTAGAAACATATTTATTTTTTCAACAAAGTAAGAAGCTATCTCTGAGACTAAGTATCAACAAGGGTTACAATTCTGGGACAAAAATATATTTATTCTCATGAATAGTCCCCCCCCAAAAAATGCTGGGAATTGAAGCAGAACTTTATAAATGCTGGGCAAATGCTCTGCCATTGAACTACATACAAAAACATCTCATAGATTCACAGTTAGTGTAAAGATCTCTTCCATCAAATTTTCAAAAGAAATGGAACCATGGAAAAATTACTAATATTTTAGAAAGACTTAAATTCCCACTGCTTTAGTTACCTGTCATGAGGATACATAAGAAGAAAATCAGCACTATGTTGTATAAATAACCCCATACTAAGGTATGGAATTAACTGTGTAAACTTTGAAAACAAAAAACACCTTTGACTCAAGATGGGAAACTCTGATCTCAATAGATTTTGAGAGCTGAATTGTATACATACATATATACATATTTTTCTAAATATATGGTACTTTCTAATAGCTCCACAGGTGAATGGATTACAATCATGACTGGAAACCACACTTTTAGAAGTCCCAAGTCAGCTGCTAAATATCACTTTTAAGTTTCCTGAAGTATCAAAGGCAGGGTTTCATCCATGAAAGGAAAGTACTCTACATTGAACCATACCAAAATCTTTATAAAATGCACTGGAAGTGTGTAGAACTGATCTTTCAGATAATGAGGAATGCTTTGAAAACTTTTGTATGATATGAAAAGGCTGTAATTAGCAAAAGAGACATTTAGTGTGTTTTTCCAGAAATAAAAATTAGATAGTAGACAAATTATATCATTTATTGACAAACTAAATTTAAAATTTTAAAATGACACAAAGGTTGAAACAATTTATTTTGCAATAGTGACAAATAGGTATATATATCATAATATATTCGCATCTTCTGTTTTCGAGGTCTTACAAATAATTTATAAGTTCAACAGTACATAATATTCTAATGTTTTTACAATAAAAGATAGAACATATGAAAGGACTGTAATGGTTTTATAAATGAGAACACTTCAATTTGAAAATCATTTTTCTAATTCATTTTAATAGAGGGAATCACCAAAGGGAAGTTGCAATAAATCTATTGTTTTTTTTTCCCTTGAATAAAATATGCAGTTTTTACAGAGGAGAGGCCACTTTAAATGCCCTCTCCTGATAATGAGATTGATGACTAATTAATTCATATGTCATTGTATAGCCGTCATCCAGCAGCTGGTGGAAGTAGAAGCAGACACCCACAGCTAAACCTTGAACTGAACTGAAATCCAGATCAGAAGAGGACTGAGCAAAGGGGTCCACACCAGGCTGGTGAAACCCACAGAAACAGGTGACCTGAACAAGGCAAAACTCTTGGTCCCCAGACTGATAGCTGGGAAACCAGCATGGGACTGATCCAGACCCCCTGAATGTGGTGTCAGGGAGGAGATCTTGGAAATCTATGGGGCCTCTTGTAGTAGATCAGTACTTATTGCTAACATAGGAATGGACTTCAGGAGCCCATCCCACATGGAGGGATACTCCCTGAGCCTAGACACAAGGGAGTTGGCCTAGGCTCTATCCCAAAGAATACAACGGATTTTGAAGACCCTCTATGGAAGGCCTCACCTTACCTGGGAAGCAGAAAGGATATGGGATTGGTAAGGGCTTTAGTTGGGGGGGGGGGCAAGGGAGGAGGGGAGGGAGAGGGACCTGGGATTGACATGTAAAATAATTTTCTTTCTAATAACAAAATGATTTAAAAATAAAATAAAATATGCAGTTTTTAAAGTCCATAACTAACACCACTGACAATTATTTACTGCAATGTCCTTCTATACAGAAGCCTATCATTTGTTAAATAAGCTATGCAGACACCTCTTGAAGGGCTAATAATGTGTTGGCACATTGTTAATGGATTGTTTTGGCTATATTTAGCAGACATCTGTCTGTCAGGATAACATAAAACGCACATCAAGCATACTGCTTAACTTCTTTCTTCTTTTGTTTTTTAATGTTTGTTTGTTTTGCTTTTATTGTTTTGTTTTGTTTTGTTTGGAGACAGGGTTTCTCTGTGTAGCTTTGGAGCCTGCCCTGTTACTTGCTGTAGACAAGGCTGGCCTCAAACTCACAGAGATCTGTCTGGCCCTGCCTCCCGAGTCCTGGCATTAAAGGCTAGTAGCAACCTCCTCAGATTCTACTGTTACATTTAAATTAGTTCATGTCTAAACTGAAAGGCTGCTCATAAAGGTGGTCTATCTTTTCTTGTATTTTGCTATAGAGGTTTTGTTTGCATTTTCTGTACTAATACAGATTAAACATTTCTCTTACTCTCATAATCTTGCATCTTAAAGGCTTTCCTTAGAAAGAACTGAATTGTGAGAAGGAAAAAAGAGTTTACTCATAAAGCAGATTAGACATAGAATTTCAACAAATTTTAGTTTCTGTTTTATTTTTTGAACAGTGTGGACTTTGGAGCTGGAATATAGTAAAAAGCTAAGTTTCTAAAAACTCATGGATAAAGCAAACAAGGTAATACTGTGCTAATATTAGAAAATATTTTAGGATAAAGAAACTCATTTTATAATAAAAATTTCAACAAGTCCCATGAATACCTCTCCAGATATCCCAATGGCTTCCTCGGCAGCTCCATACTGACCAATATGTCCATTCTGCAAACGCTCTAGCAGCTCCAGTAAAGCAAAGTTTTTCTTCAATCCCCAGACACCTGAGTCTCCTAGGAAAAATATGAAAACAAAAGTAAATATAACAAAATGAAATTTTAATCAATTTACCTCATACCTTAAGAGTAATTTCTAACACATATAGTTCAGTTATTAATTTTGTCTAAAAGTTGCCAGGACAAGTGCTTGTTAATGTTACCAAAGACCCCCTCAGCACAAGTAGACACATATCTTACAAATCTTTTTTTATTTTACTATATAAACTAAAATAAGCATTTAAATATTTTTCAGATATTTTACAGCTATGTACAATAAGAAATGCATTTTATGTCACAATTCAGGCCAATATTCACACACCAGAAAAAAATAAAGTTTCACACACTAGGGGCTGGGGAGCTAGCTCAGTGATTGCAGTGCCTGCTGTCAAGTGTAAGGAGAGTTTTGCTGTCACAAAGCAAAATACAGGTGGGGATGATGGCTCTCTTGTAATTCTAGCTTCAAAAGGTAAAGACGGGATCTCTGGAGCAAACAGTAGCAAGACTATCAATATTGGACAGTTCCCAAAGATTCTCAACATAAACCTTGGTCATCCAATACAGGCAGATACATATGCACATATACTCACACATATAAACACACATACAAGTATGAATATCATACATAAACATGCATGGATTTTTTTAAAAACTTGACAAGTACTTTTATAGCAGTATGCAATATACTGCTGTGTTTTACTCTATTTCTTTTTAAATGTGACCTCAATGGCAGAGTATGTCCTGAGAATTTGCAAGGCCCTAGGTTCAATCCACGGTGTACTCTTACTCTCTCTCTCTCTCTCTCTCTCTCTCTCTTTCTCACACACACACACACACACACACACACACAAAAATATAAACTGTTTACAATCAATTAAATTTATTTCATGACCACAAAAATAAATTACTGTATAAAACATACAAAGGACATAAAAAGATTCATCTCTAAGTAAACTGCAACTAGAAGAACTAAGATTCCCAACCCTTTTTTTTAACCTGTAATGGTCAATGGTTACATAAATTCCTTATAGTGAGGGCTGGTGAAATGGCTCAATGGTTAAGAGCACAGGCTGCTTTTTACAAAGGATCCAGATTTGATTTCTAACACCCACATGGTGGTTCAAACCATCTGCAACTCCAGTTCTGAGGAACCTAACACCTTCTCCGGCTTCAGGAGGCAGCAAGTGATATACAGATGCACGAAAAATACCCATATATATAAAATAAAAAAAATTTAATTAAAAAAAGACACCTCATAAAACCACAAAACAAAGCAAGAGAATGAGCCCTGTCAGATAAGGTTCTGCAAAGCTTTGAATAAGAGCAGACAGTTCTTTACCTCAAACTGAGCACATGAGGACATATGCATATCCATGCAGACACTTGCAAACACCCACTGTTTTCTGAGCCTACAAATAACAGCCACATCATTCAGCAGTTAGGAACCGTTGAGTTCCCACAGCACAAATACTATTTTATATTACTGCCATCTTGTGTTTGTTAATAAAATAAAAATGCAAAAAGATAATGGTGACACTGTCTACCAGGCTCCTTTCCTGTTAGTCATTATTTTTTTCTTGAGAAACACTCCAAAACCATTTTCTGGTTTCTTAAAACTAGGCTATCTTTATCCTTCTCTTTGACTTCTATAATCTCATTTCTCAGATGCTACTACACAGACCACTGAAACTTGCCTTCCTCAGCTTTACTGCCCCTCTTCAAGGCTTTCTCCTTGTTTCCATTTGTCTCATGCATTTTACAAACTGAGGTCCAGCTACTCCACTTGTATAAACATTGAAATATTCAGAACAACCATTTAAAAATAAGGCCTTGGGAATTTCCCCAAAGTTTAGTTATTATGTAAGGAACACACAAATTCCCAGGAGTACCTAACAATTTTGAAATTACAAAAAAATTTTACACTCTTGATAGTTTAAAACAACACAGACTTTTGTTGTTCCTGCAAATTCTTAGGGTTTGGAGCAGATAAGAAAGGCTCTGTTCCCACTGTATGTGTATGGTAAGGAGCATGGAGCCTCCGTTCACACAGACTACCTCACTGTTGCAGAAAAGAAGATTTACTTAACATTATCATCAATCTCCTCTTTAAAAAATTGTCTTTTTGTGTGGTGATATTTTGTTCGTGCTTTAACAAATAAAGCTTGCCTGAAGATCAGAGTGCAGAACTAGCCACTAGTTAGCCATAGAGGCCAGGCAGTGGTGGCATACACCTTTAATCCGAGCACTTGAGAGTCACATGCCTTCAATTCCAGCAATATATATGTATATATTTTTGGTTTTCCAAGACAGGGTTTCTCTGTGTAACAGCCTTGGCTTCCCTGGAACTTGCTCTGTAGACCCATCTAGCCTTGAACTCACAGAGATCCACCTGCCTCTTCCAAGTCTGGGACTAAAGGCATGCCACCATCCAGCTTCCTCTTAAAAATGTTTACCTGGAAGTTGACAGTTGACACTTTATTTCTGCTCACATTTCAATAGTTAAATGGAAACACCATATTCATACCTAATTATTAGAGGGTAAGGAAGTATAATTTGCTATAGGAACAGAAAGAGGAAAGCCAGAAATATTGCTCATCAGAAGTAACAACTCACTGGACCAAACAATAGCTCAGATTAGGAACTGATAATAATCAATAAGGGCAGTTTTCTTCTAGAAGAGGGAATTACAAATGATCTTTTATATTTTTCTCAAATGTTTGTAATACATAGAATGTATAGTACTATATTATGTATATATATATCGTATATATAGTATATACTGTATGTATACAGTATAATATGTAGTATACACACACACACACACACACACACACACACACACACACACACTCATAGACTATTTCTATGATACAAATACAAGCAGATCTTTAAAAACCTGGAAGCTAGTAATCAAGTCACTAGCATATTCCACAGACAAAGCACAGTCATAGTCATAGTCACTACAATCTTTATTCAAGTCAGAGATGGGATCACTAATGTTGGTATGACAGGAGTTGATTCCAACCTCTGATGTGACTAACTGCTCCCTGTCATAACTTCTGCTTTCAACACTAAGTGTAGCAACCCCCACACTGTGGTATTGCAGAAAAAGTAGAGGGTTCTCCCAAACAGTGGAAAAGGTTCTAGCCTACATTTGCAAAATGTTACCATTTCTACACATCTAGTTGTATATGAAGAAAGGATAATTTCTTTTTGTTTTACAGAATGAAAAGTCAACTAAATGAAAGTCAACTAAATGAACCTTTAAAACAGAGACATCTCTTCCATTACTATTATTTTGTGGTTTATAGTAGGTTAATGCTATCTATATAATGTCATTAGTGCCTTGCATTAGTTTCCTGGAGAATATACATAATACTTATTTATATGAGAACAGCCAAAATCAAAGACAACATGTTAAAGCCATATTTCCTAGCATTTGAAAGCCTAAATATAGAGACAGCTTTGCTTCCTTTTATGGGTAGCTAAATTATTTAATTTTAACATATAGTGTGACTATATTTGTCATTTATTACATTTATGTTATCTTCTGTGTAGGGGTGTACGTACACACATATATGGAAGGGTGCCACCACACAAGTGTGGAGTTGAGAGAATAACTTGCAGGAGTCAGTTAACTCCTCCCACCAGCCCTGGCCTTAAGTAGTGCTAAAGACCTTAAAAAAAAAAAAAAAAAATCAGCCTTAAAAACTATTTTGGAAAAAATTCTTTTATCTTACAGAGTAAATTAAGAACTTATATTAAATTGTGAAATAATTTTTCACATGCTAATGTTCTACTTTCTAGATCTAGGCCCCTGAGATAGATTCTTTGATAAAGACACTTGCTGCAAGCCTGATCACCTGTTTTGGACACAGACACACACAAATAGATGTAATATTTTTAATTTTTAAAATCTGTGAATAGTGATTCTGAAGTAGTTTTAGAAGTATGAAAGGACCTATCTGGCATAGTGGCACACACCTTTAATCCCAGGACTGAACTGGGGAACTAAAAGCAGGCAGATCTTTAAGTTCAAGGCCAGTCTGGTCTACAAAGCAAGTTCCAAGACAGCCAGGGCTACACAGAGAAACCCTGTTTCAAAAAGAAAGAAAGGAAGGAAGGAAAGAAGGAAGGAAGGAAGGAAGGAAGGAAGGAAGGAAGGAAGGAAGGATGGAAGGAAGGAAGGAAGGGAGTTAGTTGAAACTGAGACTCAAATGACTTAATATATATTTTGACTACCTGCTTGTTCATTTAAAAAAAAAAAGTTATTGGATTGATGGCTTTAGGCAAAGGGTTTAATCTGTGATGAATACAGTATTCTCATTTCTTTGAATTAGGGTAGTACTTAAGTTCTCAGCATTAAGTATTGAATATAAGTCTCAGATTTCCACTGGTAATTAAGAGTGAGCTAGCTTAACAGAATCCCATTGACCTTAACAGAAACTCAAAATTCTAAAAGCTCTTGGAACTTAACCTAAAAAATCAAGTGTAAAGAAATTGTTTTCTCCGTCATTTGTGTTACACGAATAATTTTCCTACCTAGGTCTGTTACTTGTCGATCAAATGGGCAACGTATTGCTCTTCCATGCAGAGGCAAGCGAGTGAGACAGTCATGACAGACTGTGTGACCACAAAGGAGGAGGCGAGGAACTTTATCCCCTTGCAACGAGAAGACATCTTCACAAACCCCACACTCCAGAACCTAGTATTGGAAACAGAAACATGTGTCTATAAACACTATTAAAACAATATTCTAGTATTTTAGATTTAAAAAGAATTGACCTAGTTAATATACTTACTCAATCTTATTACTTTATTCCTCCATGGGGGGGGACTAAATTATGAAACCTTAAATCACATTTTTATTCATTTCCATTTGACAGACCTTGTCAAAGTGAAACCTCCTTGAAATACTCTTATGTTGCAAATTAATATAAGAAACATAATCTAATCTCCTGAAAACTGAACATGTAGCAATTTATAATTCTACTGAAACCCCCATCAACAATCATTCACTTTGCTTTTCCTTTTTTAAAAAAAGTTTTGAGATTTATTTTTGTGTATGGATGTTTGCCTGAATATATGTCTGCGCACCTTGTTGGTATAGTGCCCACAGAAGTCAGAAGAGAGTATAAGATTCCCTGGAGCTAGAGTAACAGATGGTTGTGAGCCACCATGTGGGTACTGAAAAATCAAACCAGATCCTCTGAAACAGCAGTCAGTATTCTCAACAGATTAGTCATCTCTCTAAACCCTGGTTTATTTCCTTGTTAGATGACATTTCACTGAGCAGCTCTGAATGGACCTCAGTCCAGGCTGGCCTCAAATATACAGTGATCCTCCTGCCTCTGCCTCCCAAATGCTAGATTATGGGATGTATCATTATGTCCAGTTAAAACACCATTGACTTTAAAAAAAAAAAAAAAAAAAATCTAGGGCTGGAGAGATGGCTCAGTGGTTAAGAGCACTGACTGTTCTTCCAGAGGTCCTGAGTTCAATTCCCAGCACCCACATGGTGGCTCACAACCATCCATTATGAGATCCGGTGCCCTCTTATACTGTGCAGATAGACATGGAAGCAGAATGTTGTATACATAATAAATAAATAAAATCTTTAAAAAAAAATCTAAAATGTGTATTGGGATGACACTCAATTTTCTAAACTATAAAAAAATTTGTAAGAATGTCTCCAAGGAATATTCAATTATCTTCTAAACTTCACAAAATAATGTAAGGGCAAAAGCCAGATTAGCTGAAAATTAAATTTCAATTCCTATTCTTTATTAATAAGTAACTCTGGCTTGGAAAATATTTGACTATCTAGTTGTAATCACAGGTATATATACCAAATACTATATGTACCAAAAGGCACTCAAAAAAAAAAAAAAGCTGTGAGAACTGACTCACTCTGAATCTCAGGTCCATGGGTTAATTATTTTATAAATAATCATAAACTGTAACTATCATAGCATACCATTTTCAGTGCCTTTACAACTAACTATTGTTTGTGTTGTTTTCAGTTTTAATTACTTTTTTAAAATATTCACAATGAATTATTCCATTGTCTCCCGATCAAGCCACACTACAGAATCCTATGGTCCAAGTGTGTCGCTGGATAGGACTCTTGCTTTATACTAATTAATACTGAGAAAACTGCTAAACATCTACCTTCTGGCTTCCTTTTTAAGGTTTTTATTTTCATAAATCAAAAAATTCCCAAGTACCTAGCTCTTGTTCTACCCATCCCTCACTCCAGCTGCAACAACTACCTTATCCTCTGGGTTTCCACGTACTCTGAATACGTATCTGCCTGTCAACTCAAACACTTCAATACTTTCATTGGCTAGCATGTCTCTCCTTCTTAGAACAAGAACACAGAACAGTACACTCCAAATAGCAAGTACCTATGTGCTTATGTAAATAAAATCCAACAAAATAAGAATTAAAAACAAAAACAATTCAGCCCACCATCAAACACACACAAGACAAAATTAAAAATAGAAAAATTAAGAGTGGAAATCTCATCAGACACATTACAATTTTAAACTTGATTCTCTAATACATTTACACCTAGAAATTGAGATGCAGTGGTTAAAAGTACTGGCTGCTCTTCTAGAGGTCGTGAGTTCAATTCCCAGTACTCACATGGTGGCTCTCAACCACCTGTAACTGTAGTCCCATGGGATCTGATGCCCTCTTCTGGTGTGCAGATGTACATGCAGACAAAACACATGTATACATAGCAAATAAATAAATCTTTAAAAAAATAAGAGAAATTGAGATACAAGCATCTTTTACTGCAATTAAACTGGTAATTCATAGTAGCCTTGAATATTGGTATAGTTAAAAAAAAGTTAAACGTAGTATAGTTCACAGAAAAAAAAGGAGACAAATTAAGTATCATAAATTATATTAAGCTATATAAAGAAAACTTTATATTAAGAATTCGCTGCCGGGCGTTGGTGGCACACGCCTTTAATCCCAGTACTCAGGAGGCAGAGGCAGGTGGATCTCTGTGAGTTCGAGGCCAGCCTGGTCTCCAGAGCGAGTGCCAGGATAGGCTCCAAAGCTACTCAGAGAAACCCTGTCTAGAAAAACCAAAAAAAAAAAAAAAAAAAAAAAAAAAAAAAAAAAAGAATTCGCTCTAACTCATTAAAGTGCAAAGAAAAACTACACCAAGATACTTTTTCAAAAAGTTATTAATGCTTTGTATTAATAAAATGCAGCAGTTGGAGGAAATGTAGGAAAACAACTTCACTGATATGAAAAGTTTATTGAGTAACAACAGCATCCATGGAAGCAATTTAGCAGTTTAAGGAATTTATTCTAAATTACCTCACACATGAGGCAAAATCCAACCGTTCTCATCCTTGTTGATATTGTTGTCTCTACTGTTGGGGATCCCAGATTTTTTGCATATGTCAGGCAAATGTTCTACTACTAAGTCACATCCCCAGCCCACATGTAACAAGATCAATGTGTTATTCTTTAACGCATCATTTATATCATTAAAGAATTAAAAACAAAGTAAATGTACATATAGATACTAAACTGAAAGATAAATTATAGTGCACTCATATGCCATAACTGCAGGCCATTAAAGGTTAAAGTTTCTGCCGGGCGTTGGTGGTGCATGCCTTTAATCCCAGCACTCCGGAGGCAGAGGCAGGTGGATCTCTTTGAGTTCGAGGCCAGCTTGGTCTACAAGGGCTAGTTCCAGGATAGGCTCCAAAGCTACACAGAGAAACCCTGTCTCGAAAAACCAAAAAAAAAAAAAAAAAGATTAAAGTTTCTTATGTATATACACAGAATATGAGTAAAGTGGAAAGAAAGTGTTAAGGAGGATATAAGACACGTTACTACTTCCAATTACAAAAAAAAACCCTTTAGATTCACAGAACATTCTGCAGGAATTCTCTATTTGGCAAAAGCACAATTCAAAATAATAATCTCAAACATAAAATATGAGTAATAATGAGGGCTCTTCTACGTTTCAGATCTTTGTACCTTCAATGTAATTTGAATTCAACTCAATATAAAAAAGTTAACTATATCAACAACCAATTAAAAAGGACTAATAATAATTAGCATAAATTCCTCAAAAAAGACCTTTGTTATAAAAAAGAAAAGGTATCTACCGTTTAACGAGTAGTGACCAACTGTACTTGGTTCACTGCTATCAATCCAAGTGTACTTTACCATCAGTTCTGGGAATTTAAAAACTATACTGTTGTCAACACACTCAGAATGAGAATACAAATCTCTTGGTTGCTGAAGATCTTCAAAGTTACTGTAAACCACTCGCTCCTTTCAGATCTATGTTACAGTGGGTGGGGGAAATGAGCTTGATGTCCTCGATCTCTAGTAAAAGCATTTGATAAATATATGGTAGAATCTTACAAGCAGAAGGTACACCATACTTCTAGTGTTAAACCCCGCCTATGCTGCAGTTGGAGACTTTTCACACCGCTCTGTTCAGAGGCAAAGGGCGGCTCAAAAATGTACATATATGATTATAACAGCAATGCAATGTTGAAAAGCAGACTTTTACAAGCAGTAAACGCTGGGCCCTCACTAAACCTAGGGCTCATTCCATGTAAAATGCTAATTAACATCTCCCTTTTAAGTAGATACTGGCGAGCTGAAACATTTACCACAGTACTTGTCTACCGTAAAGGCTGTTTAATACATCTACGCCAACTAATGCCTGTGGAGGCTTCACTAGAAACAGAAGAGCAGGGGAACACCAATCCAGGTCAACTCCACAGGCCTACGCGGTGCTTTTCACAAACAGCCCGATCCAGGCAACTTTAGACCAGCAGGCCAAGGACTGCGGCGGGGCAAGAAGGGCTTGAAACGCCCACCCGGTTCCAGAGGCCGCGCATCCCGCCCGGCCAAGCCTGGGCCGCAGAGTCGCGACCAGGTCTCCAGGACGAACCGAAGGGAGGCCGCAGGTGAAGAACAGAGCACGCAAGTTCCCTCACCTTCACCACAGCCGTCCCCCGGCTGCCCTGCCGCCCACTGTCTACTCCGGCTCCGGGCTTGTTTACAGCTAGGGCAGCCATCCTGGAAGAAGCCGCGCCACAGCAGCAGCAGAGCCTTTAATTGAGAGGAGGGGTTGAGCGACCTACCCAGAAGCCTCAGCGCACGCCGCAGGCACGCATGCGCAGTACGGGCGGGGCGCCGCTCCGCCTCCTCCGGCCTTTTCCCTTCCGTCAGTCATTGGCTGTACGATCTGCGCGTGGACACTTTGTTTTTCATGACGGTGCCTGCGAGCAACTGAGGGAAGGGAGAAAACAAGAAGAATGGATGGAGCATAAATAAAATTTTAGAGTGAAAGTGTCGATCCTGTAATGATTTTTCCTCCAGTACTGAAACGAGCCAGAGTGAAGAAATCAGCTAATCCCAGCGCCGACACCTCTAATTTGAATAAAATAAACTACAAATCCCAGCATGCCACTCGAGTATCCTCCCCCCGCCCCACGCGCCCCATCGCGGAGTGTAAGCCTTTGGGAGGCCGTGTATTGTCAGCTGAAAGTGCCTCCTTGAAGTCAGTCTGTTTAATTCTGAGCGAAGGAATGGCCTTCGTGAAAAGATTTTCACTGGGGCCGTACCAAATTTAATGCAAAGAGAAGTTAAGTTAGTACGAGCCGAAAGAAGTTGGGCGTGTGTTTGAGGCCGCGTCTTCCGGGACTTGTGCTTTGCAGTTTCCTTCCCGACCCAGGGTGAAACTCCTGAGCCTGAGACCAGAAGTGCATGTCAAGATGGAAGTGAATCCCCCGAAACAGGAGCACCTGCTGGCGCTAAAAGGTAAACTGTTACGTGCCTAAGTCTCTTTACTCTTCCCCCGCCCCCCTTCCCCTCACTATTTGAAAGATTTCCAACGTGAGCCTTATCCCTAAACACGGCAGGGCTCTCCCTCTTGCTAAATACTGAGAGATGGCTTCTAGAATGAAATGCAATCCTAAATTCCTCTGTGATCTGTGCTACCGCAGCCACCAGATTTTATCCACAGAAGCTCATGCCTTGATCCTGCTGGGGAGATCTCTGTGAACCAGAATAAATTTCAGTTGGCTATTAAAGCAAGTTATTTATTTTGTTTGTTTGTTTGGTTGGTTGGTTTGTGGGGTTTTTTTGTTTTTTGTTTTTTTGTTTTTTTTTTTTTTTTTTTTTTTTTTTTTTTTAGTTTTTCGAGACATTGATTCTCTGTGTAGCTTTGGAGCCTATCCTGGCACTCGCTCTGTAGACCAGGCTGGTCTCGAACTCACAGAGATCCACCTGCCTCTGCCTCCCTAGTGCTGGGATTAAAGGTGTGCGCCATCACCCGGTTTAGAGCAATTTTTTATTACATTTTTATCCGTTCATGTAGCAGGCACAAAGTTACCAGGCTTTCGCTTAGCTGTAGGTAATATCACGTGCTAATGCCAAGGATTTATAAAATAAATGGTAATACACCCAATACTTCTTAGATTTGTTGAATATATTACACATTACACTTTAATTTTCTGTACACAGCAGTTTTGAATAACTTTTAATGGTTTAATTTAACCAGAAGAAAGTGGCAGGGCAGATTTTCCTTAACTTTGCTTATCAAAACCTTTTATTTAAAATATTTTCAGCTTTATTTTATGTTTTTTGGTGTTTTGGTTTTTCAAGACCGGGTTTCTCTGTGTAACAGCCCTGGCTTTCCTGGAACTCACTTTGTAGACCAGGCTGGCCTTGAACTCACAGAGATCCACCTGCCTCTGCTTCCTGAGTGCTGGGATTAAAGGCGTGTGCTACCAGTGCTCAGTTATTTTATGTTTTCTACTGCTACAATGCACTTGGTTGCTTTTGGAATATACAGTTATGAGGTTGTGCCTTTCACTAGGAAATGCTTAGAAGACATTTGAGCTAGATTGCATTGCTCTGGCCTTCCTTAAGGCATCCTTTTTGTTATACTACATGTCCTCCCCAACACTTTGTGATCTGTACATCTTACATTCCAGAAGCTCATAATCACCTATCGATAGATGCTGTGAACATGACTGTCTCTGAATGTGGGACTAAGCAAGGTTGCAACACTGGGTAATAAGACAAACAGACCTGTAGGTTTCTACATGATCCAGACTAAAATAGATTATATGTGTATGAAAGGAACTTGGTATATATATATATACACAGACAGGTTTTCTCTGTGGCTTTGGAGGCTGTCTTGGAACTAGCTCTTGTAGACTAGACTGGTCTCAAACTCAGAAATCCGACTGCTTCTGCCTCCTGAGTGCTGGGATTAAAGGCATGAGCCACCACTGCAAGGTCATTGTCTCAGTCTTACATCTAGTGTTTGGACTAGATATTAGTTATCTTTTACGGTCTGGCAGCTTACTACTTACATATCTAGTAAGAGTTCAAGGCAATAATTCAACAAGGCCTGCCTCATATTTCTAAAATGCCCTGTTTGCCTCCTATCAAATGAAACAGTTTTTTCAGAGAACATTACCTTATGACTTCAATATAAGTTTAAAAGTTATATTAGTTGCTAAGTGTGATGTCACACAACTTTGACCTTACTAAAAATTCCAATGCTGGGGAATTTTATGTGTTGTTATTCTTCATTTTTAGAAACACAAGATGCCTAGTAAATAATACTTAATCAAACAAACAGGACAAGAGCTTTACATTAAACCTCTTTGATACTGTTTTCCCCACATTGTCCTAGGTAATCAAGAATTTCACAGGGTTTAATTTTACTGATGTTGACTATTCAAGCATGCCAATTTAAATGGACATTTAACTTTCTTATGTGTAAAATGTTAGAATAGTATCTTTTTCTCTTTTTTTCTCCAATTATCTCTCCCTCTCACCATCATTTGTCTCCTTTTTGAGACAGGGTCACAACTGTACCAGGTTGACCTCAAACTCACAATGTAAATGAGGATAACTATACATTCCTGGTCCTCCTGCCTCCACTTCCCACACGCTAGGATTACAGATGTGTACCACTGGACCCAGTTTATGGGATGTTGGGGTTTGAACACAGGCTTTGTGCATATTAGGCAAGAACTCTACTGACTGACCTACATTCCCAATGTCTTTAATTATTCTTGAAATGAAAACATTTTACCTAAAAAGAACTCTCAAAATTTGTTGTTTCTTGAGTCTGTCATTAAATAAATTCAGACAATGAAAGAATTCTCAGTGCCCTGCCTAACTGTGAAAGGTGTAAAGAAGGAAGAAGAAAAAGATAAAAATCATTAATTCTTCATCCTTGATTGTAGTCAAAAGCCAAGAAATGATCATTATTAATTATGTAAAGAATGTCATCACATATTAAATCTATACTAAAATTATGAATCTTAAGAATTATACTTATTTTTAAGGGCATAAAAGATTTATTATACAATTATTTACATCTTAATTCTTCAGAGTCACTATGGTTCTATTGTGACATCATACCAGGAATCTGGTTCCTAGTTATCCTAGCAATATAAGAATGTTCATCAATTAATTCTCTCATGTTTTGGGACTAAAAGACTGTGTGTGTATGTGTGTGTAGAAGAGCCTCTGTTAATACTCAGCTTTGGTCTGGTTGGGAAGCCCAACTTGTAGATCAGATCCTGGCCAGTTCCAGTCTTGAGGCCTTCTATGCTAGAACTTCCTGTCACTGCTTTATTTGGGACATTATGAGAACTTCTGTGTTGTGTTCTTCATCCATGGCATTGGCACGGAAGCCATACATTGGCATCTGGTAGTCATAGAGCTAATCTAACTGCTACTTAAATACCACCTTTATACAGAGAAGACTTTATCATAACACTATTTTCTATTTGGATTAACATGCAAAGTTAATCCATTTTCATGTTTTTGATGTTTATTATTGAGAAAGAGAGTAATTAAATATTCTACCTATGTGTTGGTAGAATTTATAAAATTTTAGAGTATAATCATATTAATTTTATTCCATATACATTTTTTTAAGCTAGTAATTTTGAGCAGGGCAAGATGTTGCACATTTTTAATCCCAGCAGAGGGGAGCAGAAGCAGGTGGATCTTGATCTACATTGTGAGTTCCAGGATAGCCAGAGTTTTGTAGTGAAACCCTGTCTCACACTAAAACAAAACAAAATAAAAAACCTAGTAATTTCATTTTCCTTAATTTTGAAGTCACAGATGTTTCCTGATTTTTTTAACAGTGTTTTTTAGAAGACTTTATATAGATGTTTTACCTGCATGTTTGTATGTATGTATGTATGTTTGTGCACCATGTGTGTTTGGTGCCCATGGAGGCCAGAGGAGGTTGTCAGATATTTGAGCTGGTGTTATAGATGGTTGTGAGCAATTATGGAAGTGCTAGGAATTGAACCTGAGATCCCTGGAAGAGCAACTAGTGTTCTTAACCACTGAGCCATCTCTCTATTGCTCCCCAGCAATATACACACACACAATTTTTAAATATTATATTTTGTTATAAGAATCACCAGATTTTTGTTTCTCTTATGGTTTTAGGCTATGATTACCAACATTTTAATGATAATATTTCAAAGTCCTTAGTTAAATTACCGACTATCAGCATTTTCAGGCTAAATATAATCTTCATTGGAATCCAATTGAGATACTTTATTGTTGTGAAAAGGGATTTTCAGGTGTGTGACTGTATTCACATTTGCCATAGCACTTTGTTAAAATAAGCATACAGGGAATGGGTTTTCGTTTCTTCTCCCTGCCTATCTGAATGCAGGCTGTCCCTACCAAATCTTATTCTTTGCAATACTTCCACTTTAGGTCCTGTTTCTTCTGATTTGGCAAGAGAGACAGTCTTGTAAATAATAAATTACATTCTAGCTCTGAAGAATTCAGCTAAGACATTTTCTTTTCACTAAGAGTTCATGGATCACTGCAGAATGACTACTGAAGTAATACTACATTATCGGCCATATGAAAAAGATCCCACACAACTGGCAAAAATTGCAGAAAAGGCAATTCAAGACTTTCCTACTCACCAGCTATCAAGATTTATTCCTTGGTTTCCACAAGATGGGTCCAAACTTCCACTCAAGCCTAAAAGACTACCACCAGTAGTTTCTGGAGAGGCTGCTGAGAATGTGAAACAGTATATAACCGTTTCAGAACCTAGTGTTAAATCTCAGAGCTATGATTGCACAGTAGATCTTTTGGAGTTTCAACCTAGTTTGAAAACGCAGCACTTAATCCAGTCACACATGCTGAATGAACAGAATAATCCTGGAAATGTGGATAGAAATTCAGATAAAGGGAAACTGCACAGAAAGAGATCCTGGAGCATTTCACTTGCCAGCAAACACTGTCCAAAAAAGAATTTTCCTTTGTCTGAACAATTGCAAGCTATTTTAAGGACACTGCATTTACATTCCCTTCATAGAGCAAGATGGACATTAGAATACAGTGCTTGCAACAACCAGACTCTAGAAGACATTTGGACAAAACTCAATCACCTCATCAGGCATAATGAACTTCCTTCCAGTAATGCCACTATCCAGAGACAGTTAGGCCAGATATGGGTGTTCTGTGATATTATGTACTGTGAATATGTAGGAAATCTTCTTAAAGAGAGATTATCTCTTATTGGGAAAATTCATTTATTTGTACGTAAATATGGTGTTATTTTTAGCATGTAATGAATTCTGATTATCAGAAAAAAATATTCTGAATGAAATGAATATGGACTGAAATTATAAAATGAATAAGTTTTGTCATTACATTTTTAATGACTTAAGATTTTATGCTGTGAAGAAATAATTGTCTACTATGTATACAGTTTGTATCCAGTATATAAATGTCACAGAATTCCAAAGCTTTTCAGTCAAGTAAGGAACATTTTAGATTCTGTTTATTAGTGTTCTTTGAAGTAAACTGTGATGAATTATTGTTTGCTAAAATTGAGTGTGTTCTAGTCTTTGTCACTATTGACTGAGTTTAAATGAATGGGTTGAATTTTAATGAATCCTTAAAAATCTATTTTTTAGCTCACCTAACTATAATACTGGATGTGTATAAAATTAAAAGACTTAACACCAGTATGTCTGATTTTGTGTTTTTCAGTATTTATTACAAGGTTGCCAATCAGAGGTTAAAAGTTGGAAAATCGATTTGGTGGTGCACGCCTTTTATCCCAGCACTCAGGAGGCAGAGGCAGGCGAATTTCTGAGAGTTCCAGGCCAGCCTGGTCTACAGAGAGAGTGCCAGGATAAGCTCCAAAATTACACAGAGAAACACTGTCTCAAAAAAAAAAAAAAAAAAAAAAAAAAAAGTTGGGAAATCATAGCACTTTTGTGATAGTTTTGTTATTTTGAAAAGTTTAAAATAGACCCAAAAGTATGTTACAATGAGATTATTAACAGTTTTAAAATCCAAGAATTAAAAAGAGCTTCTTTGTTTTCATATTTGGAAGATCTGAATTTTTCTGATTTACTCTGGATAAATTTCTTTCTACTTCTCTGAGGAACAAAAAACTGAGAAATAGACATTTTTTTTTTCTTCAAATAGCATAGTGATCCAAAAGGAGAAAAGATTCGTTTCCCATCTACCTAGATGAGTCTTAGGTTATCAGGACCTCAGAACTTAGGCCCACTGTTAATTCCTAGAAAGCCTTTATTTTATTTTTAAGTTATATTTATTTATTGTGTGTTTGCATGTTAGTGCACACACGATGGTACATAGATGGAGGTCAGAGGACAGCTTGCAGGGGTTGGTTGGTTTTCTCGCTCTATCATGTAAGTCCTGGGACTTGAACTCAGATCATCAGGCTTGGTATGATTTTACCCACTGTTCCCCTTGTCCTGTCCTCTAGGAGCCTTTTAAGGGGTGTCAGGTTTTGCACTTGGTGCTACATGTGCATCCCTGGGCTAGGTGATTCTGTCATTAGCTGGTATCGTTAAGGCTTACATCATGAACCAGTGAACTGGGCCTAGTATAATTTGCATATTCATTTTGGTTGGACAGAATTATTAAGAGATTAGGTAGATTCCGCTTCAGATTCAATGTCTTTACTGCATTCTGTGGTGATATATTGTTTATGATCTAATAAAGATCAAGTTATTCCACTGTTTAGTCACACACACATGGAATATTCTAGGGAAAAGATAAGTTTGTGAGAGCACTGGAGAAATGCAGTCAGCACTCTAGGAAAGAGGCAGTGGTACCGTAATTTATTTTTTCCTTGTTGGCCATCTGCCTTTAAAAATTAAAACAAATTCAGAGTGAAGGAGGTAGAGGCAACCAAGTAACAAGCTTTTGTTGTTTGCTTTAACATTGACCTGGTCTTAGACAAATATAACTTGATTTCCCAATTTCCCAACTTAACTAGTAACAGATGTGTTGTTTTTTGTTTTTTTTCAAAATGAGTTAGTAATTTACTTCATCTTCACAGAATACCAAAAATTAATCTACGGTTCACAGTCTTTAATGCCTCTGAGAGCCAAGCAGGTGAGGCTGTAAAATGCAGTAAAGACATTGAATCTGAAGTGGGATCTACCTAGTTTCAATAATTCAAGCCAATCAAAATGAATGTGCATGTCATTTTTTTCTTAAGAGACTAAAATGGATATTCTTACCAATCACTTACTTTACCATTCAAGCACTGGTATAAGATTACTATCCAGGGCTGGAGAGATGGCTCAGTGGTTAAGAGCACTGCCTGCTCTTCCAAAGGTCCTGAGTTCAATTCCCAGCAACCACATGGTGGCTCACGGCCAATTGTAATGAGATTTGGTGCCCTCTCCTGGCCTACAGGCTTACATCCAAGTCCAGCTCTGTACACATAATAAATAAATAAATAAATAAATAAATATTTAAAAAAAGATTACTATCCAATAACTAGAACTTCCTTTTCATTGCTCTGTCAGTGTCTCTTGGATGTGTGCACATAGAGAGGTCAGAGGACCTTCTAGGCACCTCAGGCCCCAGACACCTTGGTTTGTTGTTTTTTGTTTTGTTTGCTTTGCTTTTATGGAATCAAGATCTCTCTCTCTCCCTTGTCAAGTTGGCCAGCAAGCACCAAGGATCCATCCACATGTCACCACCATACCCAGCTTTCTATACATTGGTTCTGGGTTCTAACTCAGGTCCTGATGCTTGTACACAAGCACTTTACCAAATGAACTACCTTTCCAGACTACTGTCAGTTTCTTAAACCTTCCTTTTTTAGGTAGGGTTTTTGAAATCCATTAATTCATGATAAAACACGAGATAATTGTAAGCATGCATTTGATACTGACACGTTTTATTTTGGCCTCTAGAAAAAGACATTGAAAGGCTAGTTTGTTTTAAAGCGCAAGGAGAGACAGATGGACATAGCACACACCTTTAGTCCCAGCACTGGGGAGGCAGAGGTAGGTGAATCTGAGTTTCAGGACAGCCTGTGCTACTAGTGACACGTTATCTCCAAAGTACTCAAGGGGTGAGCTTGGTGTGCTGACTGGTGGCTATAGTGCTAGCACTTGAACAACTGAGACAGGAGATTCCAAAGTCTAAGGCCAGCCTGAACTTCATGGCACATTCCAGGTCATCTTGGACTATAATATGAGACCTTGTCTCAAAACAAGAACAATAAAGTTTAAGGAGTAAGCTATTTATGTAATTCTGCTTGCCCAGTTTCATAAATTTGCATTCATGTGATAAATACAGCTATGGCGCACAGAGGGCTAAGGCTGGAAGGTATAGAATATGAATCCATCTAGGCTTCATAAACCCTCTAAAAAACAAAACAACAAAGATGGGTAGGCTTTAAATTTTAGCTATTTAAATTAAGAAGGCCACTTTTTGTATACCTTTCTTGGGGTACCTATTTATCTTCACGTTATATTTGATAATTTTTACTTTCCATTTCTGTGTTCCTAGTTAAAGGTAAGAATGGGGGCGGGAGAGATTGCTTGAAGGTTAAGAGCACTTATGTATTACTCTTGCATAGGAACCAGATTCCATTATAGTGGCTCACAGCCTTCCATAACTACAGTTCCAAAGGACCTTATGACCTCTTCTAACCAGGCATGCACATGGTGTATATACACACATGCAGAACACTCATACACACAAAAATAATCTTTAATCTTAAAAAAAAAAAAAAAAGAGTGACGGTTGTAGACACCAACACCATGTCTTAAGATGGTTAACATTATTTGGAAGAGTCCTACTTGTCTACTTGACTTACACTGTGTGTGTGTGTGTGTGTGTGTGTGTGTGTGTGTGTGTGTGTATGGTTTTTCAAGGCAGGGTTTCTCTGTGGCTTTGTAGGCTGTCCTGGAACTAGCTCTTGTATCCCAGGTTGGTCTCGAATTCACAGAGATCCACCTACTTCTACCTCCCAAGTGCTGGGATTAAAGGCATATGCCACCACCACCCGGCTCACGGTATATTTTTAATTAGACCTTTTCATCCTTGTGACCCCAAGGTTACAGGTAAGAACTGTTTTGGGGAATACTTTTTGAGGAGTGTGAAGCCATCCAGTTCTAGTTTTGGTTCTACCACTTATATATTATGCCATATATAATCCTTGATGTTCAAATTGCCTTTAATAGGCATTGTCTGCTTTGTCTATATAATGTAGATAATAATACTAACCTTGTATAGTGTTAGTACTTATATTTAATATAATTAAGTTTTATTAGCATGAAATTAGCATGTTCACTAAACTGAATATTAACCCTAAACAATTTAAACATTTTGTCTTAATTCACAGTGATGCGATTGACTAAGCCTACTTTGTTCACCAATATTCCTGTAACATGTGAAGAGAAAGACTTGCCTGGTATGTAAAGAAAAGTTGAAGCTTGAGTTATCCACGTTATTTTGAAAGAAGCTTACCCTTATCATTCTTATATGAATCATTTGCTGTATTCTGTGTTGCTTATATTTGTACCATGTGAATGGTGGCCATCTAAGAGATCGGGCCCATTTATAGCCTACAATTCAATATGATATTATCTTTTGATAACAAGAAACTTAGTTTAAGATACATTCATATCCAAACACTATCAGAATGTTACCTGTGTCCTCAAATATGCATTAGTATTCTGTTTAGAATTATTGGTGTTTTTAAAATGTATTTATGTCTTAAGACCTACAATTTCCTTTGTTTTTTGAAGTATTTATTCTCTGTGAGATCAGATTGTTTTAAATTTAATTTTGTTTTATGTTGGGGACAGGGTCTGGATGCATATCCCAAGGTGTCTTGAATTCTTGGTCCCTTTGTTCCAACCTACCAAGTGCTATCTATGATTACAGGCATATACCACATGGCCAGAATATTTTAACATGAATTTTGTGGTAGTAAAGTTTAGAAATCACATCTTATATCGTTATGTATATTGAATTTCAATACTGTAACTCAAAAATGAGTATAAATATTGTGTCTCATTTTTTTGGTTTTTCAGATAGAGACCCATAGAGCCCAGGCTGGCCTGGAACTCACCATGAAACTGAGACTGGCCTAAAATTCCAACACTCCCTGCCTCCCACTTCTATGTGCTAGGATTTCAGGCTTGGATCACTACATCCAGTTGTATCTGTTTTGAAAAAGTTAAAAATTAAAAATGGTAGTATTATTTTTGTCCAGATTAAAAGGAAATCTGACACTCTCCCTCACCCACCTACCTTTGGCACTGGGGATCAAATCCAAGGCTTTATTGCTGCACTTTAGAGACACAAAGGACTCCCAGCTCAAGCAAAGTTAGAATTGAGAGTCTGAATTAAGCAGGCTAGTAACTGCCTGTATAGAAACACTTCTCACAGAACAGCCTCAAATGCATGTTACAGGGAACTTTTAAGCAAAGAACACAGAAAAGCTACATCCTGTTTGACAATTCAAGGGGAATTAAAGCAAGCAAGCAGTTGAACAGAAGCTAAAAGCATGCAGTTGGCTGGAGCATTTTAACTCTGTTTCCAAAGCAGGGTTGGGAACTTTCCCATGGAACTTTTCACAACTGGTGAAAAAGGGAATGTCAATTTCAGGTTAAATCAAAGATGCCTCCAGCTGAGCCAAGATGGAGGAAGCTTCACCTGGTCACATTATGAATACTAGGCAAGTGCTCTCCCAGCGAGCTGCCCACTGGTCCCTATTTCTTTACATAAGTAAAACTTGCTTTAAAGGTAGGTGTTAGAATTTTGTTTTTCTCTTGCTGCAGGTGATCTCTTTAACCAGTTAATGAGAGATGATCCTTCAACTGTAAATGGTGCAGAGATTTTAATGTTGGGAGAAATGTTGACTTTACCCCAAAATTTCGGGTAAGAATGAACAATTTACATAAGATGTGCAGCTATATCCAAAAGCTTTTATGTCATGTTTGTATGTGGAGTGGGAAAGTGCTGCTTGTTCAGTAAGAGGTAAAAACGCATTCAAATTACTCTTGATAATTCTGTTTTTATTTTTTTTAAGCAATATAGAACAGTGTCAGTAGTGACTCTAAAATGATGATAGCATTTTAACTGTGTTCTTTGGGTTGTGGCTAAAGCCCTGTGTCTTATCTCCCCAACACTACCACAGTTAACACTACCACTGTTAACATACCCCCACCTAGGTCTTATACTGACCATGATTCTGTGCTCTACCACAACTCTAAGGTCTTAAACTGGCCGTGACTGTTCTTACCTTTAGTTAAAAATCCTGTTTTCACAACTGAGAAAATTTGAGACAAAAAGGAATTTCTCTGGTTTGATGTGGTTTTTATGATTTTGCTTTTCCTAAGCTTACACAGTATGATCATAAACTAGTATCTTTCAAACTTGGAAATGTATTGATGTAAAAACTATTAAAATTATATAGAGTAGGGGCTGCGGAGGTGGCTCAGCCCTTCGGAACACAGGCTGATCTTACCTAGGACCTGGGTTCAGTTCCTAACACCACATTGCTACGCACAACTGCCTGTAACTCCAATTCCAGGACACCTGTCTTTAGTTAGGTTTTCTATTGTTCTGAAGAGACATCGTGACCTCGGCAACTCTTATAAAGGAAAACATTTAGTTGGGGTGGCTCACTTACAGTTCAAAGGTTCAGTCCATTATCATGATTGTGGGACATGGTGGTATGCAGGCAGATGTGGTGCTGGAGAAGTAGCTGAGAGTCCTACATCTTGCAGGCAACAGGATATCAACTGAGACACTGGGTAGTATCCTGAGTGTAGGAAATTTCAAATCCCAACCCCACAGTGACACACTTCCTCCAACAAGGCCATGCCCACTCCAACAAAACTACCCCTCCTAGTAGTGCCACTCCCTATGAAATTATGGCAGCCGGTTACATTCAAACTACCACAACATCTAACTCTTTTTTCTGGTCTTCCCAGGCACTATATGCATGTGGTATACATGCATTGTTGCAGGCAAAACACCTGTACACATAAAAGTTAATTATATTTTCAAGAAGCTATATAGTGTAAAGCCAGTAGTCATTTTATTAGGAAAATAATTGAAAAGTTCTCCCAGGTGAGTTAATCTGAAACTTCTAGATTTAGAGTATAAGTTATTTAAAAAATGAAACTGACATTTTCTAGTGTATTCAGATATAAATCTTATGACAGCCCAGGTCTGATTACAGTGACCATTATTTCCAGGATGGCCAGAAATTTGTGCAGCAGTTGACAGCTGTATTACAGCACATGTAATTACACTATCACTTTGAAGTGACTAATGAAAATAAAGGACACTGAAGAAATATTTCCTGCACCCTTCAATTAATTTTCTTCCACCTGAAGTTCTTACTTAACAGTGTGATTCCCTTAAGGACTGATGATTTTCTGCCTAAAGTGCTGTTTCATTTCATAGGAATATATTTTTGGGGGAGACCTTTTCTAGTTACATCAGTGTTCATAATGACAGCAATCAAGTTGTAAAAGATATATTGGTGAAGGTAAGTGGCATTCTTATTTACAAAGCATTTTATTTGGATAAAAATGTTTATTTCCGTTGAGTCTTGGAAACCTCATTAAAATGCATGGTCAATACCAGATTTTTAAATGTCATTGACAAACACTGATGGGTACAAAATATGGAGGACCGTTACGAGCACTCTTTCCCACTAACCTGGTCTCATAGCCACATCAGCCCCAAATAAACACTCAAAGACTTATATTAATTATAATATCATTGGCCAATGACTTGGGCTTCTTATTGGCTAGCTCTGTCTTAATTACTAGCCCATTTCTACTATGGGTTAGTAGAAATTAGTCTTAATTACTAACCCATTTCCACGTGGTCTTATCTTACTGAAAAGAGGTTCGGGGACCTGTTACTCCTCTGGTGTCCTACATGGCAACTGACCCTCGGCCTACACCTCCCAGAATCCTTCTCATCTCCTAGACCCGCCTATCTTGCTGCCCTATTGGCCACAGGGTTTTATTCATCAACCAATAAGATAAACATATTGACAAAATGACATCTCCCACCAGAGGACACAGAGCCATTTTCCTTCTACTCAAGGTTTCTAAGAGCTGGGATGAGAAAATGACTATTCAGTCAAATAATAGGTGTAGTGTTTGTGTGTGATTAATGTAATAGCACTTGGAAGCCTTAGGAGAAAGTATGCTAGAGGTCACTTCCTAGTTGCAGGAAGGGACCTCGTAGAGGAGAGAAAGACAGGTAGGATTTAAGGGATGAGTATAGGGCAGGGGGAGACAGAGACAGTGTGTGCCTTTAGAGGAAAACAAAATCACATGTGCCATGTCAGATGGTCAAACTGTTTAGTGTAGTGTCATGAAAGCCAGGCTAAGACTTTAGCCAAAAACAAAACAAAACAAAACAAAAAACCATAAAACCTTTAGAACAGTGTCACTAAGCTTTACTAAAACTAGTCACAGTTTGTGTGAGGAAGACTGCTGTGATCACCGTGTGGGATGCTCTGTAGGAATCAGAGCAATTGGAAGACTCTTGAATTAGTTGAGAAATTTAACACTAGAATGTGCAAGTCCTTAGTAACTAGAAATGTAAGAGAAAGGGCATAGGAAGTAAAAAGTCACTGTGTGGATGAATGGATCAAGAAGATGTAGCATGTATGTACAAGAGATCTGTTCTGCTGTAGAGAAAAAGAATTTCTGCCATTTGCAAGGACGTGACTGAAACTAGAGATCATCATGTATTGGTACTGGATACTCCCTGCTTCCTGGTTGGTTTCATTGATTATCAGTATTGCAGTGTGTGTGTGTGTGTGTGTGTGTGTGTGTGTGTGTGTGTGTGTGTGTGTGTGTGTGTGTGTTCTTGCCATAGTTCTAAGCATGAGAGTTACACAGAAAAGTTTTCACAACAAATGAGTGCTCTTTCTTTGTTCCTACTTCCTCACTCTTATTCCTCCCTTGATGTTTTCAGTTTCTTTAATACCATATATTAATGGTATAATTTAATGGGTTCCATTATGATATTTTTATATAAAACACACCATTACCCCTCCTTAGCCCCCCTCATGTGCCTGCTCCCTGGTCCTCTTCCTCTTCCCAGACATGGTTATTCCTGCTGTCCTTTTCACCCATGCCCATCCATACTCTGTAGACATCTAACCAACTTCATGTGGATACTTGTACCTCTTTCTTTCAAGGCGGATCTTCAGACAAGTTCTCAGCGTTTAAACCTTTCAGCCTCCAATGCTGCTGTGGCTGAACTTAAACCTGATTGTTGTATTGATGATGTCATACACCATGAAGTCAAGGAAATTGGGACACACATGTAAGGATTAAGTTTACTACTTCTCAAAAGCTTTTATTTTGTCCTACCTGGACAATCAAATAGAAAACCAAAGAAGACAAGGTATGAAGAAGTCTCGAGTTTCTGTTCCTGGCCTGTGAATATATTTGAATCTGAATACTGTTTTTCAATCATTTCAGCCCTCTGAAATTATTTAGGCTTCTCAAGCTCCCATGGCATCCCTATGCCAGTCACTTCACAGAAGCTAACTATCTCTTCAAAGGATTTCTCATTCTGTTTCTCTCTGCCTCCACCATCCTTTTTCTTCATTGTATCCATTAAAGCATATAATAGAGCCAACATTCAATACAAATTTGCACCTGATTATTTGATCAAATGATTTCCCCCAGCCCAATAAAGGTCCTTTTTTTTTTTGTTTGTTTGTTTGTTTGTTTGTTTTTTTGAGACAGGGTTTCTCTGTGTAGCTTTGGAGCCTATCCTGGCACTCGCTCGCTCTGGAGACCAGGCTGGCCTCGAATTCACAGAGATCCACCTGCCTCAGCCTCACGAGTTCTGGGATTAAAGGCGTGCGCCACCAACACCCGGCAAAGGTACTTTTTACTATATATTCTGAGATCGATATGAACTTTGGGTTAAAGTTTCCTAGAAGCCAAATTTCTGGGCCACTGTTCATTAATCATTTCACTTTTGAAGATTTCCCATTGGCTCTTGGAAATTCTGACTGTATATATGCTTTTCAAAGCTGTCTATAACATAATTCACTTCCTTCTCTTTCTGCAATACAGTCATTTGGATGTTCTATTAACTCTAAAGTCATTCTGTGGTTTGAAGTGTTTTTGCTTACTTTTTTTTTTTTTTTTTTTTTTTTTTTTTTTGTTTTTCGAGACAGGGTTTCTCTGTGTAGCTTTGGAGCCTATCCTGGCACTCGCTCTGGAGACCAGGCTGGCCTCGAACTCACAGAGATCAGCCTGCCTCTGCCTCCCGAGTGCTGGGATTAAAGGTGTGAGCCACCAACGCCCAGCCTGTGTGTTTGCTTCCTACCTGTGTTACTTTGTCTGATTTCTCGTATCTCAGAAATAGCATGACTTCTTCGAAGAAGCTGTCCTAACCTTTGTATATAGTTTCCACAACCTGTTGGTTTTTCTGTCTTTTGTCTTTCCAGTTACCGCCAGGTTAAACTATGAAGTCTATGTACTCTATATAGCCCAGAGAAATACCAGAGAACAGGGGTTCATATTCACTGAAGCTGAACTTTCTGGAATAGTTGTATAGAGTCACCATTCTATAGGAAATAAACTAAACAACTGCTTTAAAAGACAGAGCTCAAGGCTAGTCTCTAAAACTGTGACTGCTATAGTATTTCTGTTCAAGCCTAGTCTTGAAACCTGTAGGTGCTATAGTATTGCAGGTTATGTGAACACTTCCAGGGAATGTATTGTGAAGGGTTTTGGTTTGTTTTTTTATCGCTGTTTGTTGTTGTTGTTGGTGTGTGTGTGGGGGTGTGTGTGTGTGTGTGTGTGTGGGGGTGGGGGTGTCATGCGTGCGTGCGTGTGTGCGCGCGTGCATCCACAGGTTTTTGTTTGCTTGTTTTGGGGTGTTTTGTTTTGTTAAGGTAGGGTTATCACTATTTGATCAAAATGCTTAAAGTTAATACGTAATTTAGCCATGCTCCAGCTTACAATCCTCCTGCCTCAGCTTCCCCTACTAGTATTAGAAGCATATGCCACTATTCCCAACTCTGATATTATGTGTTGATGAACTTGCTTTCTAGCTCCTATCATCAGTGTAAGGTACCAGTATAAAGGAGAAATTAAATTATCCAATGTTACCAAGCTGTGTAGAGCTACTAAAAGATTAATGTTTTATATGTTTCCATGTTTTATATGCACATATATGTATACACATGCATATATAAATATGTATATTTATGTCTATGCATAGTAATATATATGTAGTACATCACTCAACCTTTTATCCTTTTCAGTGTACTGTGAACATTTTTTTACATCAGTCAGTATCCTTGAAAACATGATTTTCTAAATGACTGCCTCTTCTGTGTTTGGTCAGTGTGGTTTGTTTTCCCTAATATCATAATATATTTTCAGTTTTCGGCTATCAACAACAAATAGTGAGTAGTCCAATATTGCCTCTGAAGTCTTGAAGTAGATGTTCTGTAGTAATACATCAACATTTTTAAGGCTTTAAACCAAAAGACTGTTCTAAATTTCTTTCACCATCTGGCAATGCAAAGAAACTAAGTTTCTCTAACCCTCCCCAACCCAAGGGATTCTTGCCAAACCTTGTAAGATTGAAAATGTTATCTCATTATTTTAGCTTCTGGACTCTGTGTGTGACTTACCATTTCACATTTTTATTAACTATTTATAGGATTGTAACTTATCTATGTATTTTCATAATCTGGATATACATTCTTTTCCTCACATTTTGAGTGACATATTTGTACTTTGTTGATTAAATTAGAAGAACCCTTTGTATATTAGCAATTTAAATATCTTATCATGCTATTACAAGTATTTTATGCCAGCTTTTAAATTGTTTTAGTGGGTTTGGGTTTTTTTTGGTTTTGGTTTTGGTTTTGTTGAGACTCACTGTGTACCCGTGGCTGGCCTCAACCTTTTTCTCCCCCCAAGTGCTGGGATTAAAGGCATCTGCCATCTAGCTTTCCTAGTGTTTTGATTAAAACTTGTACACAGTTCCTCTGTAGTATCATGTTAACTCTTCCCTGGGGTTCCTTTAAGATTCATATTTTTCTAGTACAAGTGAGCTCGTTCCCCTTCATGCTTATTTATTCTGGAAATTATTTTGGAACATATTCTACTTCCAAAGGAAGAATTTGGCACTCCTATTCTAGAAGTGCTAGGTATCTATTTTTTACTTTTTTAAAAAATTTATGTGTATGTGTGTGAGACTATGTGAATATATTTATTACATTAAGTGTGTACAGGAGCCAATGGGGGTCAGAAGAGGGTGTCAGATTCCCTGGAACTGGAGTTAAACAGGCTGTTAGGAGCAGCCCTGTGAGTGGAGAATCAAACCCATATATCTCTGCTAGAGCAGTAGGCCCTCTTAACCAGAGTCATCTCTATCCCCTCAATCTCATTTTCTTTCTTTCTTTCTTTTTTTATGTTTTCAAAGGCAACTTGTAAGTTAAGGCATTTTCATATACTATTCTCAGAAATGAAGCAATATGTATAGGATAATTTCCTTGGGGAAATGATGTTTTCTTTATGAAAAAACTGACTTTCATCAGAAATTTTGACATATGACTCTGCGGTGAGTTGAGGATTACTTATATGGCATTCCTGCCAGACTTCTATATTCAAGATGTGAAGAGCTGGGCGAAGGTCCAAAATAAAATGTAAAGTATGACTAAATGTTTGAAAACAGTAATTCCTGCCCAAAAGCTACATACCAGTTCAGAATGGAATAGTTATCAATGCCACTCTTCATTTGATTTGTAATTCTAGGAGTGCCTTTTGAACAGCGAATGGTAGTCATACATTATCCTCTGTGCCAAACTCTCAATGATGGGAGTAGGGTAGAGTTTCAGTTCAATTTCCAGGGAAGAAAAAGAAAATTCTGTCATTTAACTTGTCATATGTTTGTATCAAGAGTGTCGATCTCATTTTCTTAAAGAGAATTTTCTTGTTCATGTATTTATATCCATCCATATATACTAAAACTTTTTTCCTGTTGTAATCTCACTAAAATATAGTTTCACATTGTTGCTATAATTATTTTTACATTTTATAAGTAGAATTGAAGTACATTAAATTTATTATTAAGAAGCGAGATGGGAAGTGATTCCAGAATATTAAGATAATCTTTCTGTTTCAGATTGGTGTGTGCTGTGAGTTACACAACTCAAGGTGGAGAAAAAATGTACTTTAGAAAATTCTTCAAATTTCAGGTATTGAATATGCCAGATAAAATTGTTTGCAAGTGTATTTTGTTTTTCTGGAAGTGTAATTATTCCTCTTATTCTGGGGGGAACAAGTTTCAAATAAATTAAATAGCTCACATCTTGGGTTTATTTATAAACTGGTGTTCAAAAGTCAGACTAAGTTAAGTTCAAACATAAATTATCACCTGTGTAATGTTTTTATAATAAAATGAAGCATTTTATTTACATATAAAATCTTGTCTTATTGATGAGACAAAACACAAAAATATAAAAAGAAATAAAATGAATATAAAGCCCAAATAAGATGATTGAAAATAGCTTTAAATATCCAAAGAATTATAGCCAAATCTTGGAAACAGCCTAGATGCCCCTCAACTGAAGAATGGGTAAAGAAAATGTGATATATTTACACAATGGAGTACTACTCAGCGATAAGAAACAATCACATCCTAAAATTTGCAGGCAAATGGACAGAACTAGAAAACAGTCATCCTAAGTGAGGTAACCCAAAACCAGAAAGACAAATATAGTATGTACTCACTCATAAGTGTATACCAGACATAAACCAAAAGATACCCAGCCTACAATCCATAACCCCAGAGAAGCTTGAACCCTCTTCCAGAAACAGATGGAAGCAGATGCAGAAATCCACAACTAACCAATGGGCCAAGCTCATGGAGTAAAATCAAAGTAAGGGAGGAGCAAAAATATGAACAAAGGAGTCAAGACCATGATAGGAACACCCACAGAATCAGCTAACCCGAGCTAGTGAGAGATTACTGACTCAGGTCTGACAAATGGGGAATCTGCATAAGACCAAACTAGACTCTCTTAATATAGATGACAATGGTGTGATTGGGGCAATATATGAGGCCACTGGCAGTGGGTCCAAGACCTAACACTAATGCACAAACTGACTTAGGGGAGCCCATTCTATATGGAGAGATACCTTGCTTAGCCTAGACACAGGGGTGTGGGTAGAGAGGTGCCTTGGTCCTGCCTGAACTAGATGATGGGACAGACTAAGTAGACTCCTATGGAAGGCCTTACCCTCTCTGTGGAGCAGACGGGAGGAGGGAGTTGCAGGGAAGGAGAGAAAGAGGGAGGGGGAACTGGGATTGGAATGTAAAAAATAAATTAATAAAAAAAAATGTCCAAAGGATTATTTAAATGAAAACTTACTGATTGTTTTGCAGGAATATTGAATATACACACAAAAAACTTCAACAATTAAAATTAACTTTGAGTCATTAAAGCCTGTGGTTTTTTTTAAAGATTTTATTTATTTATTATATATATAACATTCTGCTTCCATGTATATCTCCATACCAGAAGAGGGCACCAGATCTCATTATGGATGGTTAATGAACCACCATGTGGTTGCTGGCAATTGAACTCAGGACCTCTGGAAGAACAGCGGTGCTCCTAACCTCTGAGCCCTCTCTCCAGCCCCAAAGCCTGTGATCTAAAACAAAAGGTTGAGTCCGAATTTCCTGATTGATTTGCTTTGTTTTAACTAGGTCCTCAAACCATTGGATGTGAAAACCAAATTTTACAATGCAGAGGTAAGTGTTAGGCACTTAATAAGATGTCAAATTAAACATTGAAATCTTAACTGAAAATCAGAGGTGTTACATTTCCTGTCATGATGAAGTAAACTGCTGATATAACAACTAATTGAGATATTATTAATAAGCCTAAATTTCAGAAGAGTTGAATTTCATTAATTCTTCTGGGTTCAGCTGACATATAATCAGTGTGTCTTGATTTCTACTTTCATGATTTTCTGGGACATTCACCCCTTTTGTTAAACAACTGCCCTGCAATCCTCCAGAATGGTGGTGGTGTTGCTTTCAAACACTAGCAATCTGCTGAATATTTACAGTGACTTTATGGATGTCACAAGATTCAAGTGCCAGGCATAGACTCAATATCCATGTGAAGAGAGGTGCATGCAGCAGGTCCTCCTTGGGAAGTCAGTATACCAAGTAGAGCTGGGCTGCCGAGTGCCTTAAAAGCTTACTGGGAAAGCCTCATTGGACAAAACTGGAGAAAGAAGTAACTTGAAGAATAGAACATGATCTGTTCTTTAGCATAGAGAAAAACTAAGTGGGACTGACCCTAAGAGAAAGAATTTTTGTTTGTATTTTTTTTTCCCAAAAGATTCTCTATTACCTCCAGAGCTGTAGAAAATGAGATGTCAGCTAGGAATAGTGACACTTGCCTGTTATCACTAAGGGATAAAGAATTGGGTGGATGGTGAATTAGGCAGCACTGTGCTGCACAGTGAGCTAGAGGTCACCCTGAGTTATACATAGTGAGACCCTGGCTTGAAGAAAAAAAGAGGAAGCTTTTTATGAAAAGTTCTTTTAGTCCTCAAAATCTCTATGATAAATTAAGAATTACTCAAATGCAGTATTTTGTTGTGGATTGTGTCTTTTACTTCATACCACATGGAGGTCAGTAATTTGCAATCCTGTCACACTGTCTCTCAGTGTACCTTGTATCTTGTAGCTGTAATTGTTTAGCTGTCACAGTAAATGAACCTAGCCTGTAAATATTTACAAGAGGAAAGGAAAAAGGCATATAATTAACAAAATGACGTACATAGAATAACAATAGGCTAAGAAGTTGGAGCAGTCTAAAACACGTCATTGGGAAAATGAAAAAAGAGTGGAGAAAACCTCTATGGTCTCAAAGTATCTCAAAATTACATGTTAGACAAATAAATACTGTTCAGCCAATAGCATGGATCAAATTGTGTATTTTAAGTAGTTAGTAAACCACATCACTCTGAATGACTAGTACATAGTACTTCACTACGGTCCTTGTGCCATGTATATGTCAAACATGTTTTGAAACTATTTTTAATCATGCTAATGTGAATCATCTAAAGAAAAAGTAGATGATGGCTTCATGAAAAATTCTATTGTAGTTTTCTATGCTAGGAAAGTCTTGCAGGAAGACACAGAAATTAGTAGCTGGGAGTCAGCATTTGGTCACCTGCTGGGTTCAAAATCCAGTGTCAGGTGTAGAAGCAAAATAATGTAAGCAGGTATCTTCCCTAGCCTCAGGACACTTACCTTGGTGGAGGCGGCTGCATAATGTAACCACAATACACGTGACTCCCTGTGTCCCAAACAGTGTATTCATGCTTCAGGAACAGAGCAGTGACATATTATCACCACATTTGATGAAGGAGGTGTCATTTGACGTTGGACTTAATAAATCTACTTTTAAATATGTACTTATATATTGCATAATAGACTAAAATATAATAATGATAGATAATTAACTGAATTGTTTGGAATGGTCTATCCCAGCATTTCCTGAATTATGACCTGTGACAGCTTTATGGTAACTTTAATCATCCAAGATCCTCCTCTAGGAAAGGATTCCAGCATTAGGTAAATTCAAGAGAAGCTTTATGATGTTCTGTTCTCAATATGAGATGGAGTATATGTCCACCTGAGGTATGGAGAATTCAGTACAGGTAAAGAATGTACAACAGGAGAGTGCAGTACAGGCAAAGAATGTACAACAGGAGAGTCCAGTACAGGTAAACAGTGTACAACAGGAAAGTGCAGTACGGGCAAAAAATGTACAATAGGAGAGTCCAGTACAGGTAAACAGTGTACAATAGGAGAGTGCAGTACAGGTAAAGAATGTTCAACAATAGAGTGCAGTACAGGGAAACAGTGTACAACAGGAGAGTGCAGTACAGGAAAACAGTGTACAACAGGAGAGTGCAGTACAGGCAAACAGTGTACAACAGGAGAGTGCAGTACAGGCAAACAGTGTACAACAGGAGAGTGCAGTACAGGCAAACAGTGTACAACAGGAGAGTGCAGTACAGGGAAACAGTGTACAAAAGGAGAGTGCACTACAGGAAAACAGTATACAACAGGAGAGGGCACTACAGGTGAAGAATGTACAACAGGAGAGTGCAGTACAGGTAAAGAATGTACAACCAGGTTAGTTGGCAGACTTTTACCTATTTGCTCTTGTTTAAATATTCAGCTATAATGTTCTTCTCTGTCCCATTGTCATTTAACCGTAGCAATTTCACCTTTTAGAAAAGTAGTTTGGCACATTTCTGTATGTTGCTTCCTGTTTACTTTCTTGTTTACTAATGCTGTCTTTAGTAAGTAAAAAAATGCAGAGATGCATTTTATTTTGAAGTTCTTTTTCTTTAACATTTAACTCTGATTTTTCTAATTTTTCTTTTTTATTTTTCCATTAGAGTGACCTCAGTTCTGTGGTAATTTCATTTTTTATTATAAATTGTATGCTTTTCTCACTCCTTTTTGACTTTGCCTAATTAATCTCTCTGCAAAACATAGTGGAAAAACAGTTAGTTGTAAATACTAGGTCTGTGACGTCAGAAAGAAAATATACAACTTGCGTATACTTTTTAAATTCTTTGTGAGATTAAAGATTAAATTGTCACATTGAGATGACTGTGTTCTCATTTTTTGTTTCATTGGGTGTTTTTTAAGAGGAGACACAAAATCTCATTATCTTTTATCCTTGGGATTTTCAATACTTTGCTATAAAATATCCAATTACCTTTCATTCCTTACGTAGAATATACAGTGGAAATTCATTTTGAGATGCACAGTGGTTTTACATCTGGGTCAGGTAAAGCTGGCCTTTTGACAAAAGCAAACACTGGCTGAATTCCTGTTTCCAACTTTCTCTTCATGATCAGCAGCATTTGCTTGTTATGTTACATGTGCAATAACTGGCAGCCTGAGCACTGAATTCTTGTCCTAGTTTTTCAGATGTTGGACTGCTTGGTACTAACTGTTCACACTAACTTGGTTTTCCACTATGCTGCTCTCCTTTCTTTTCTCTATGCTGTTCATCAAATTACACAGAGAATTGCATTTTAAAATGGAAATGTGGGCCTTGGGTTATTTTAAGAGCAATGGATTTATGGGATATATTCACTTATTTTCTTAAGAAAAAGTAATTGAGGTGGGTGTACTGGTGCATGCCTTTGATCCCAGCACACACAGAAGACAGAAGCAGGCAGATCTTTGTGAGTTCAAGGCCATCCTGGTCTCCAGAGTGAGTTCCAGGACAGCCAGGGCTATTACACAGAGAAGCCCTGTCTCAAAAAACCAAAAAAAAAAAAAAAAAAAAAAAAAAAAAAAGAAAAAGAAAAAGTAACCAAATGATCTGGCACAATGGTACATTGTTTAGCCAGGTATGGCACACACCTTTAGTCACCAGCAATTGGAGCCCAGCCTTGTCTACATAGTTCCAGGACAGTCGGAGCTAATAGAGATGCTCTGTCTCAAAACAAAAACAAAAAAGGCACATTGTTTTTTAAAAAAATCCTTGTACTAATATTTTCATTTGAGCACATGCCTAAAGGCTGAAGAATCTGTTTAAGACACATTAAATTATAACTTCATTATATTTTACATGGTTGTCATTTTTCTGACTTCAGCATTTGAAAAGCTCATAATTCCCCAATTTGATGACATAGTTAATTTCCAAGTTCTATAACTAAAATATTTGGGGGAAAGAAAGTAATTTCTGAATACTCTTCACATAACATCTTTATTCTTCAGTCACTCAAAGGAGACCCAGAACCAAGAGGCATGAAATTAAGGATGTTTAACAGAAATAACCAGGGAATTTGATGTTTTTATGAATTCAATTTTCAAGCTACCCACTGACTCAAATGCATGATGTCATTTTGAAATTTTTAAAAGTCCACAAAATACTTCAGTGTGACTGGTTTAGAAGCTGAAATGTCATTGAGCCACTTCCCATGCTCTTGTTTCAATCTTAAATGTATAAAGTGAACCAAGAAGTGACTAAGATTACTTATAAATTGCTTTAATTTAAGAAATTATACCCTAAAGGGTATAAAAAACAGATTATTCGTAGCTAGTGGTCACTATGTCCATTGAATCTATTGTACATTAATTACATTATCTCAGAGTAGTCCAATGAAGACCTCATTACCTTCCCTTAGCCCAGTCTGAGTGTGCCCATCACACTGAAGTTTCTTCTACCATTTTAACATCTTACCACATTTGGACTTTTTGTTGTTACCAAAATACTAGTTGAACACATGCTTTTGAATTCTACCAAATATATCCTAGCTATCCCACATCCATTGTTTGACAGGGTACCTGTTGACTAACAACTCACTTTGCTCCTGTTTATTATGTTAGGATGAAGATTTCTTTTCTTGCATTAATGGTGATAATTTTGATTTGCAGGCATGAACTAATCACAGTTGTGGTTAATATTTTTTCATATAAATAAGATATTTTCATCAAGGTAAATACTGTAAATACCATGACATTTTGGTGCCTTTTTTTCCATGTCCTCAGACTGATGAAGTCTTTCTTGAAGCCCAAATTCAGAACATTACAACCTCACCTATGTTTATGGAGAAAGTTTCCCTGGAGCCATCGATAATGTACAATGTAACAGAATTAAATTCAGTGACCCAAGCCGGGGAATGGTAAATATGAAATGTTTGCTGCTATTTGGAAAGATGCAGGCTTTTCTGATGACCCCTAGTCTAGTAGATTGTGATTTATTTTAAAATAATTGGTGAACAAAATTTTTTAGAGAAGTTTTACATTAATCAAACCTTTAATGAGAAAGTAGAAGTCCCATGAGCTGTCTTCCCCAGTCAGTTTCTCCTTTTGGTTTATGTTTTCTTATGTGCCTTTCATTTATTGTTTGTTTTTGTTTTTTGTTTTATGTTTGTTTGTTTGTTTGTTTTTGGTTTTTCAAGACAGGGTTTCTCTGTATAGCTTTGGAGCCTATCCTGGCACTCGCTCTAGAGACCAGGCTGGCCTCGAACTCACAGAGATCCGTCTGCCTCTGCCTCCCGAGTGCTGCAGTGCTGATTCTTATTGCAAGCAAAAGATCACAGTTGAAGTCTATATATGTGATACACACACAGTAAGATTGACCAAGTGCATAACAGCATGTCTACCCTTGCTAATGAGTTTTCCTCACACCTAGTTGGACCTCCCTCTACATAAAGATCTTGCCTTTTTCCCATCTTGTGTTGCACTGTTCAAAGCCCTTTCTCTCTCATCTCTATATTTATCTATATATCTATATCTCACAGAGATCTGCCTGTCTCTTATCTCAATTGCTAGAATTAAAGGTGTGTGCCACTACCACCCGGCTACCCTGGTTCTCTAACTTTCATATTTCATCCAGATAAATCGGAAACTATCATTATTACCCTGTAAATGATAAAACTGAAACATGGGAAGGATAGTGGAGAAGATATTAGGAATTAAAGATAGGGTGAGTGTCAATTTGAAAAATAAATTTGCAGGTAAGAAGATATGGACATCAGAGGAGATGATTTTAATTTTTGTGGGGAAAGTATACATGTCTTTCTTTTTTAAATTTATTTAACTTTATTTTTTATGTGCATTGGTGTGAAGGTATCAGATCCCCAGGAACTGGAGGTACAGATAGTTGTGAGTGCTTGGAACCAAACCCCGGTCATCTGAAACTTAACTATTGAGCTATCTCTCCAGCCCAACATGTCTTTCTATAGCTATTTTGGAAGAGAAGGAACAAACAAATGTATTATTAGTGTTGATGAGGAGGCACTAGCTGGAGAGAGAGTGCCTGACTTTCCTAATAATAATGATTCCTAGTAATAAAAAGCTTGTGTGATGGTAAGATACTAAAAAGTTGACAGACTCTTTTGCTTTCCATTCTTCATTCATTTTGAAAGCAACTACTTATATTAGAATGGTGTATCTCAAGGGCGGTAATGGTGCTAAATGGTTTAGCACTTACCTAGCACATGCAGCACCCTGGCTTCTGTCCCCAGCGCCACACAAAGAAACAGAATAGAAAATATTGCTCTGTTTCAAAGCTAGTTTCTCTCTGCCTCCCCCTTCCTTTTTTGTTGGAGGGGTGGTAGTGGGGACCTACCCACTTCCTCACACATTCTAGGCAAGTGCTGACCACTGAGATAGACCCAAGCCTCTGTTTTACTTTTTTATTTTGAGACAGAGTCTTACTAAGTTGCCCAAGATGGCCTTGAACACAGTGTCTCATTAGGCAGACATTTCATTTGGATTGAAACCTCTGTCCACTCCTAAATCTCTGTTATCAATTCCTATCCAAAAGAATTAACCACACCAGCCAGGCGTGGTGGGGCACACGTTTATAGCACTTGGGAGGCAGAACTCTGTATGAGGCCAGCCTGGTCCACAGAATGAGTTCCATGACAGCTAGGGCTACACAGAGAAACCCTATCTCAAAAAAGAAGAAGAAGGAAGAGGAGGAGGAGGAGGAGGAGGAGGAGGAGGAGGAACAACAACCGTGTGAATAGCTTTTCCTTCGGAAAGATGCTAACAGATTTTTCTTCTAATTCTCCACCTGCCAGTGTATCTACATTTGGATCCAGAGGATATTTGCAGCCAATGGATACACGCCAGTACTTATACTGCCTAAAGCCTAAGAAGGAGTTTGCAGAAAAAGCTGGCATCATTAAGGGAGTGACAGTCATTGGAAAGTTGGACATAGTGTGGAAAACAAACCTAGGTGAAAGGGGAAGATTACAGACCAGCCAGCTTCAAAGAATGGTGAGTTTAGAAAACAGGTCAGTGTGGGGTTGGGTAGGTCATTCAGCTTAGCCCTAAAAAGCAGAGCACCATGAAGTCACCCAGATTTCTAGAAAATACTAACTAATAGCTGTGTTGGTCCCTAGGAGAAAACTAGTGTTGAGATTCATAGAAATGTTCAGTTAGATGTTGGCTTCTCTTGAGTATCTCTGTATTTTTTTTTAACTTCAACAAACAGTATTTATAACTGCTTATCAGCCTTTTTTTAGTTTTTCAAGACCAGGTTTCTCTGTGTAACAGTCCTGGCTATCCTGGAACTAACTTTGTAGACCAGGCTGGCCTTAAACTCACAGAGATCCGCCTGCCTCTACCGCCTGGAATTAAAAGCCTGCGCCACCACCACCTGACACTCACTGTTCATCTGACTCACATTGCATTGAGGTATTCTGGGCAATGTCCTGAACCTCATAGACTTACAGTGCTTGCCTACTGTTTACTCCTTTGTTGTCATTGTTTTGAGACAGAGTGTCACTATATAGTCCTGGCTGGTCTGAACTCAGCAACCCTTTGAGATCAGAACCCCTAAGTCCTAACTCATTCCTTATCTAGAGGCAAGATTCATCTTATTTCTACTGAGCC